GGAACAAGACCACAGAAATCACCTTGCTTGTTGGCACATGACTGGTAAGGGGCAGGCCTGGGGGTGGACCCAGGTTCCTGGGAGGCACAGCTTGTGCCCCACCTACTAGGTTACCCTGCCTTTCGTGGAAGCTGCTGCTAGCACAGGAGTCCCTGTCATTTCTAAATGGAGTCCAGAGGGATAGCATGGCCCTGACACGCTGCTGTAGTGTCTTCATAGTGTTGATCCTGGTGGCAGCAGCTCAGAGGTGGCACCGACTTGTCAGTGTCCATTATTTCAGGGACTCGTGTATTTTTCCTTTCATTTTATATTTTGATCCCACAGTCCAAGGGAAAATCATAACTTCACAAAAGTAAAGGTTAATAATATTCATCACGCTTCCTTTTCTGGACAGGCTGTTCTTTTATAGAGCTGCCTCTGTAAAATTAGTGATCGTTAAAGGTTTAAATACTGAATGAGTTTTTGTGTCAGTGTGCTCAGGCCGCCATAACGAAATGCCGTAGGCTGCGCGGCTTAAAGAACAGAAGTGTATTTTCTCCCAGTTCTGGAGGCTGGAAGTTCCAGACCAGGTTCTAGTAGGTTCCGCTTCTGGTGAGAGCTCTCTCCCCGGCTTCAGATGGCTGCGTTGTCGTCACATGGTCTCTCCTCTGTGCTTGGAGAGGGGGAGAGAACTCACCCATGGCCCTTCCTATAAGGACACTAGTCCTATTGGGTTAGGGCCCCACCCTCATTACTTCATTTAACCCTGACTACCTCTTACGGGCCCGTCTCCAAATACAGTCTCACTGAGCGTTACACCTTCAACATAAGAATTGGCGGCCGGGGGAGCGGGGGGGACACACTTCAGTCCATAGCAGTTGTTGATTTTTTTTCTTGTGTTCCAAAAGTCTCATTTCTTCTTTTGGTGGGGTAAGGAGGATTGGCTCTGAGCTAACCTCTGTTGCCAATCTCCCTCTTTTTGCTTAAGGAAAATCGTTTCTGAGCTGACATCTGTGCCAATCTTCCTCTATTTTGTGTGTGGGATGCCACCACAGCGTGGTTTGTGAGCGGTGTGCAGGTCCGTGCCCGGGATCCAAACCTGCAAACCCCAGGCTGCCAAAGTGGAGCATGTGAACTTAACCACTACGCCACCTGGCCAGCCCCAAAAGTCTCATTTCTTAATGAGAAAACACAAGACTTTGACATTATCTGTCATCCTTAGAGAATATTTTAAATAACTAAATCTCTTAGAATAAATTAACCTTCAATTCTCATTAAAATATTGAGCTATTTTACGTGTTATCCTCCAGTTGAAAAGTTGGCATGGTCAGTAGTCGGCAGCAGTCCTCACAGCCCCAGTGCTCTGCAGAGAGGTGGGAGTGGTGCTCGCCGTTTGGGCATCGTCTGCCTCGTCTCTAGATGGCGTGTGTAACAGGGACAGGTGTGTGAAGATGGCTCTGCCGTCGGGTCTCCACCTCCAGGTAGAAGATAAAACTGGAACTCAAGAGTTTGACAGATAAAGAAATATTCTTCTTTTAAAGGGTTGTTTGGGGTAAAACTAATTATTATTGTAATAATATCTAGCCCTGTTGTGATTTATAGCACAACCTTTAGAACTACCTTTAATTTCTGAATTGAAATGATGGTGATGACAAAGATGGCAGTAACTGCTAATATTTACTGAGTGTTTACCAAGTGCAGAGAACTAGTCTATGTTAAGTGTAATTTTTCTTTTAATCCTCACAGTAAATCAGTGAGGAAGGTCCTATGTTTATGCACAGTTTACCCTAAAGAAGCGTTGCACAGGGAGGTTCAGTAACTTGCCCAAGACCACACAGTTAGGGGTGAATGAATCAGGAGTAATCATTACGGCCCTTGGATGTGTTCAAGTTGTGAAGGGCACTATAGAGAGTGCAAAGAAAAGAAAAAAGCTTTGCTACGAGAAATCAGAACAGAAGACGTGCTAAGATTTGTGGCAGATGTCGTGAGACAGCAGGAGCCAGGAAGAGGAGAGGCTCCTGCAGAGACCTTGAGGTCGGCGTCCCCCCAGGTGCCATCAGGGGACCGCTTGTCTTAGATTCACCTGGGGTTTTGTTTTTTTAATGCAGATCACTGGGCCCCATCCTAGAATTAGGAAATCTGGACATGAGGGTTAGAGCCCAGGAATATACATTTTAAATAGTAAACTCTCCCCCTGTACCCGCCCTTCCAAAGGTGATGCTGAAATACATTATAATCAGTCACGAGGCTGCTGCCTGAGAGGCTGGATCTGTTTGGATAGAACAGGACGGCAGCCTTCCCACAGGGCGACACCAGGAGCAGAGGTGCGGGCGCGGGGTTCGTTTGGGGGGTGTAGTAAGGAGACTGCCAGTAGGTATGTTAAGGCCGAGTTTAGGCGGGTCTCTAGAAATCAGAAGAGTTTAAATTTAACGAGGAAATAGCCACAAATATTCACGAGCAAGAAAGTAGCCTGATGGAAAACATTAAGGAAAATTAATCTGCAAATTAATCAACTCTTATTTTACAAATTTGACCTTAATTTTTTAAAACATTTTCTTAATATCTCATAAGCACCTGTACTTCTTATTTTGTCTTTCTGGCTTGCAGGTCTCTTACAGGAAAGGAATACATTGTGTTCATAAACGTCCTCAAAGAATCTGAAGTTTTCCTCAAATTGGGGTATAAAAGTCAGACTACGTGGTTTGAAAGCTAATAGTTAAGAAATAGACGTATCATCCTGCAGATCCACGGGTTTCAGGGAATAAATCTGTTCTTTTTTCTGCCTCTGACTCTCATCTGTTGTTGGTGGGAGTATAAATTGTTGTGACCACCACAGAAGATAGTATGACAATATCTATCACAACTTTAAATGTATATTCCCCTTGGTTCAGTAATTCTGCTTCTACACAGAGGCCACAGAGATGCTCAGATGTCCACACAGTTTTAGGATAGCACGGTGATGTCTCTCAGGGTCTGAATTGATAAAATATTGTAAGTGATTTAGATAACCCACCAATGAGTGTCTGGTTATATGCAGTAAGGTATGAGACATGGAACATTGTATGGCCATGAGAAGATTGCTAGATTAGTGTTTCATGTGTTGACATGGAAGGATCTCTAAGATATATTTTGGGTGAAAAAAGCAAAATGCAGAACTGTAGGTTTCCTGTGCTACAGGATACAGGCTCCACATTGGTAACAGGTGAAGCTGGAATGCACGAAGAGGCCTCGTGTTAGAGTAAGGCCTTCAGTTCAGCCTTTTAATATTTCGTGTTGTTTAGGCTTTGACAGAATCTATCACTGTAAGTCCACCTTCGTAAGTGAATGAAAATGTGTAGCATCATTAAAAGCCTGCCAGTGAGACACTGTCACGTGGAAAATGCACAGGCATTACATACGGATGTGTACCCACTGTAAGTGCGTCCTCAAAGGTGTCAGAATCCTCTTCTCCGTCTGTTACTTCTAACGTGTGTTCTCTTCTCTTTTTTTTTTTTAAAGATTGGCACCTGGGCTAACAACTGTTGCCAATCTTTTTTTTTTTTTTCTGCTTTATCTCCCCAACCGCCACCCGCCCCCCCCGCCCCGCCCCGTACACAGTTGTATATCTTAGTTGCACGTCCTTCTAGTTGTGGGATGTGGGATGCCGCCTCAACGTGGCCTGATGAGCAGTGCCATGTCCACGCCCAGGATCCGAACCCTGGGCCACCACAGCGGAGCGCCCGAACTTAACCACTCGGCCACAGAGCCGGCCCCTAACGTGTTCTCATAGTGTTTTTTGTTCAGTCATTGAGTAAATATTTACTGAGCATTTTTCTTAAAGAAAATTTCTGACTTGGGCCTGAGAATTTCTTTAGAACCATGGGCTTTCAAAATTGGAAGGAACCTTGAAGATCAATTTCCTCACTTCTTAGTCAAGAGAAACCTGAAATCCAAGTGGACGTGTCCAAGGTGGCACCCCATTGGCGGCAGAGCTGCCCAGAGAGCCCAGACCTCGCCTGCTGGTCCCTGGTTCTCTCACCTTGGGTTTGTCCTCTTCCTTCTCCTTCCACAAAAGTGGAATCAACTCAGGTCCCTTTCAGTAGATTTTTCTCCTCAGATGAGCAGCTTTGGGAAGATGTAATGGTAGCAGAAATGCAGAATCTTTAATATTAAACATTTAGAGGAAACGGAAATGTTCTGAATTTCTATCTTTTTCTCTTAAAAAGTAACGTTTTAACTTATATGCCATGAAGTGTCCTCAAGGTTTATGCTTTAAATTTCGTTTGGACACTTTTACCTACAGTATTAATAACTCGTGTTAAAGATGGTTTAGTCATCAGGGCTGAGGGAAACATCGTATTTAAAAAGCTAGTTTTGTGGGGTATATTTTTCCCTAAAATGAGGAAAGAAAAGCATTCCATCGCTGAACGACATTTTTCACTGAGCTTTCAATTTTAAGTCTTGTATGACTAGACTGTGAGCTCTTCAGACCAAGATCGGCCACGTGCGTGATCCCTCCCATCGCTTAGCGACTCCCCGTGATAGCCCTGTGAGGCATTTCACGTCTTTTATCACCATCAGTCTTTGGGATTGTCTCCAAATCCTTGATGCTTTCAGAGAGCCCGTGCCATGCTGGGACACGGGACAGATGTAGCCGCAGCATTTCCATCTGGAGGATGTCACGTTTCTTAAAAAGACAGAGGCGGATGGTCTGTTGGTTTTGAGGACATTATATCCATATCAGAATGGAGACCAGAGCCTGTGATGTGCATTATTCTGGAGTAAGAATGTGACAACTAGAGGGCTGTGCGGGTTCCCAAAGAGCAGAATTCACTGCTGCTCCCGCCTCGTTGTGGGCATATTACATTAGGCCAAAAATCAACAGCGTACTTTTTCCTGAAAACTGAGGAAAGCGAAGGCCGTGCTTGGTTAATACAAAACAAGCGGGCTTCCGTTTGTTCGATGAGGGCCATTTACACGAGCCGCACCGTTCCAGTGTCAAACCTGCCTGTGTTTGAATCCCCTCCTTTTTCTTCCTGAAGCTGCGAGAGAAATCGTCTGGCTGGAAAGAGAAGAGCGAGCCCGGCAGCACTACGAAAAGCACCTGGAAGAGCGGAAGAAGAAGCTGGAGGAGCAGAGGCTGAAGGAGGAGCGCAGGAGGGCTGCGGTGGAGGAGAAGCGGAGGCAGAGGCTGGAGGAGGACAAGGTGAGGACGCCGCCCCCTGGGAGGCGGGGAGGCTCGCCGAGTCAGGAGTGCAGCCCACTGCCCGGGAGACGGTCCACGCACGTGCCGGACGCACAGCAGGACCGTGTCAGAGGAAGCCGCTGCGCAGACGGTCCCGTGAGGGGAGATCGGCGTGGAAGCCGGGCGGGGAACCATGTGCTTGTTGTTGTCACCACAGTGACTTTAAAAGTCCACGTCTGTGGTCTAATTTGTAACTTCTTTATGTTCCATCTGTCTATATGGACCACTCCAAGTAATTGGGTTTCCGTAGGGCTTCACCATTTACAAACGTTTTCACATAGGTTGTCTCATTTCACCCTTACTCAACCCTTGAGTAAGTGTTAATATATCAGTTTTTGTAAACATGGAATGGGTAAGTTACGCAAAGTCATACAACTCACTGTCATGGGGTCAGAATTACCCACATCCACAGATTCCAAATTCCATTTTCTTAGATGTGGTACCACACATATTTAGCATCTGTTTAAGCTAAGACCTCACTGCTGTGCTTATGTATTGATGAAAGCATCGCAGTCCAGTAGTAAATAAGAAAAGTCATTTTTTTAAGCACCTACCATATACTGAGGGCTGTGTGTGCAGGGACCCAGCGATTTCAGTAACCCTCCCAGGGTGATCTTGTTCTCCCCTTCAGGTGGGCTGTGGAGGTGCAGGCTGCAGTGTCAGTGGCACCTCTCGCTCCACTCTGCCTGAGCTGGGGAAGCCTCCAGCAGCCAGGCTGACTAATCCTCGCTCGCCTCTTCTGTTTAAGGAGCGCCATGAAGCTGTCGTACGGCGCACGATGGAAAGGAGCCAGAAGCCAAAACAGAAGCATAACCGGTGGTCGTGGGGAGGCCCCCTCCACGGGAGCCCCCGCGCCCACAGTGCAGGTAAGCAGGCAGGGCCCGCTTTCAGACCAGCGCTGCCTCCCTGCACAGCCAAGGTGCCCTTTCTCTAAGTGTGAAAAGCAGAAATCCTGCTGAAATGATTAAACTGCAATCACAGCTGCTTCTAGTGTGTGAGGATGAGAGGGAGATGGAGATAAAAAGACAGGTTCTCTCCCTTCACGGCTGCTTCTCTCGCTTGTTACAGAATCCCCTGAAGAGACAGAAGTCTATGCAGTGTTTCCAAGTAAACATGCTGGTTTCAGCTCTGCATTATTTTAAATAATTCATCTGCAGAAGGGTTTCACAACTATGGAATAGGTTAACCAGCTTTATCTTTTGCTCTGGAGGAATCATAGTACTGTTGGCTGATCAGAATCAATGCTCTGAGCTGATACTCTGACCCTCAAGTGTATGCAACACTGCTGCCCTGCGAGAGGCAGTGCAAGCGTCCGAACTAGAAGCGGTAGCAGTCTGAGCTGCTCCCGTGTTCCCTAGCGGACATAATCGTACTGCAATTTGGACGGAGGGAGAGGGTTTATTTTTGTACTGTAAGTTCAGTACACCTTGAGTTTTATAGAGTGTGTCAGTTCTTTTTCATTTGTGTGAGTCTAATAAACTTTTTTTTTAATTTACGTTGAAAAATCATTGTCTTACATTCTGTCCCCAGGTGGTTTTGTTGAGTCGTCATTCACCCTTCTCGATTTAGCAGGCCTGGACCACCACGTCACGACTTTTGGTGGTACTAGAAAACCTGGTACTGACGTCCCTGTGGTTGCTGATTGCTTGCCCATAGCTAGACCTCAGACTAGGGCCAGCGCATCGTAGCGGAACCATCACCATAGTCACGTGCATGCTTCAGATCCCGTTGCATAGACCAAGATCTGGATACAGCACAGTGTTTCTTAAGTGTGATGATAAAACTCAGGTGACTTAAAGGGGTTGAAATAAAGTAATTCCATATATGTTTGCTTTCTCTTGAAATGATCATTTTGGGTAAAACCTTAAAACAATGTTTCTTAGCTAACCAATTACCTGGGATCCAGGTTCATCCAGTTTGGCTTTCTTTCCCCCATCAACACTGCTGTTGCCACTTTTAGTTTTAATCTAAGTAACTGTGGGTTTCTGTCTGTTTGCCCTGTTCTCTTTCCTTCCCACCGTCCAGTGTATCTTCTGTAACTCCTCTGTTTTAAAAAGTCTAAAAGTGGATTACCATAGCTTACTTTCCTGTGACAGTGAACCACACTGAAAGCTCTTTTTCTTGGCTCTTCACGACCCAGTGTGTGTGGTGGCGCCCATATCGAATCTGTGATCATAAAGATCATTTACGAGTGAAGTTTCATCCTCAGGATAGCTCTGCGTATTTGTCCCATGTAGAAAAGCTGTCCTGGGGATATATTTTTATACGCTCACTTATTTTTTACTTGGCTTCATGTTTTTCACATGTATGGCAGAAGTATACTCTGTTACTGATTTTTTAGATGATTTTGAGGGGGAACAAATTGCTTAGCTGTAGTCCTTGCTCCCACACCCGGAGTTTAATGCTTGACTTTATTGCTGCTGCCCAGAGCCAGAGCAACCAGTGCTGTGTTGCTGAGCTGTCAGATGAAGGCGTTTTTATAAGGGCTGTGAATTAGAGGAAATGGCTGCTGTACCAGAACAGAGAAGTTTGAAAATAATGGGAATTTGCCAGACTTCTCAAAGGTCAGAATGGTCTGCTGTGATCTTGAGATCAGTGACCAGGCCTTGCTCGTTCTGATGCCTGTACTTCGCACAGCGCCTGGCTCGCCATGTGTCTGCCGACTGACAGGTGCGTCCTAGAATTTAGATTCAATCCAGACTATAGCTGTGTATTGTCTGACTGCTCACACATCAGCTAGCGCTAGTTCATAAAACTTTATACCTTTAAACCAATTCTCCATGAATCCTCTTGTGAATTTGTGTTTTGTTCTGTGAAAAAAAGAAAAGATTAAAAATTACTATATTAACTAATATAATAAATACATATTATGCCTTCATCATTTTAACTTCCGGGACAGGCCTGCATGTAGACAGATGTCCCCCAGCTAACGCATGACATATGAAGGGATACCAGAAAACGTACCGCTGTGAAATCGCCGGGAGTGGGTTCTGTCCCTGTGCCCGGAGCCTTACGTCTCATCACTAAGACGTTCCTTTTGATAGTCTGCCCTCAGTCTTTTCTTTATGTTAGGGTTGCCCTAAGAGCCCATCAGTTAAGTGCAAATTTTGAGTCAGAGAAGTGATGTCTTGGGTTTTCTTTAATAATTAAGTTGCTTCGACCACACAGGTGAGTGAGAAGACGGGGATGTCCAATGTTGGTGGAGACTTGTTCATCCCTGTACATGTAATATGGCCAGAAACGGTTATTCTGTGGGTGAGGTTCTCTGTGCAGTTTCTACTACCGAGGTTAGTCAGACGAGAGGGAGCTGGGATTTGAAGCCTCTCCCACAAGCAATATTTTGGGTTGCTTTTAGTTCTAGAAGAAGCTAACAATAGAAGATAAAACAGAATACAGCAAAACCCCTCCAACTTTGGCTCTTATAGGTCAGAACATCTGCCTGCCTGCCAGATGAATGTAGTGGTGAGACTTTTAGGCCTTATGACATGCAGTTATTTTCAGGACACGTGACTTGTGCTAATGAGCATGGTTACAGCTTGGTCCACTGTGCAGACAGCAAAGTAACAGCTGATTTTTGCCTTTTATATGGCTATTTCTCTTCTGACTTGAAGAATGAGGCTAAAATTACTCAGCTGCGGGACAAACAGTCATATTATTCATAAACTTAAAGAACGAATTCTGATTTTCCTTATGCTGCCGTCAGTTGTGTCGGCAGCCGTGTAGGCTGATGCTATGTTTGTAAAGCACACTCAACTCCGTGTTACAGGCTCAGAGATGTGCTTACTAGGAGACCTTTGAAAGAGAAGTGCTATGGTGGCCATCCTTTCCACACCAGGAGAGTTCCCTTTTCTTTCTTTCTTTTTAGTCTTTTTTTCTGTGATGAACTTTAATGCCAGGGTGAAATGACCCTATAAGCCACGGTCACAGCAGGTGCACAGGACTTGGCGTTCTTTTTGTGTGAGGGTTTCATTCTGCTTTACCAGCACTGTTATTGCCCAGGGTTCCGACTTTGGGATGTTGTGAATGGCTTCGCGTCTGTGGTCCCCTTTGCTCCGCAGCCTGTCTCCATGACTTTAGTTGCCCTCTGCTGCCGCCCTTTAGTCTTCATCCGTTTGTTGTGTGTAATAACAATATGCTTGAATTTCCTGGCTGAAAACTGGCGAGCTCAATTTTATTTTACCATGTAAGAAAAATGAATTTTATTTCTAGCCTTTAAGTTACCAGTAAAATATCCACTTAGAAAACTGTGCTGCTGTGAAAGATCTAGTAATAGAGCTGGAAGCATCCAGTCCTAGTTTTCCTTCCATCAGTGAAGTAGGAAGCGGCAATCCTGCATGCTGGCTGTCAATTAGCATTATCTCCATTTGTTTTAGATCCAGACAGGCGATCAGTTTCCACCATGAATCTTTCGAAACATGTTGATCCCGTCATTAGCAAGCGGCTCTCCTCTTCATCTGCAACTTTGCTAAATTCTCCAGATAGAGGTACAGTCAAAAGGAAAACAAAGTGTTCTGTTATTTACCTAATGCTTTTTTTCTGGATGTTTACAGATAAAAATAAGCATCTGAAGTTGCTTTCCCTACGTTTCTTAAATAGGAAGAAAAAAACTTCAGAGTAAAAAAGCAGTAAACGGCTGAGCAGCATTTTCCTTGCAACAAGAACGTTCTCATTTTAGAACTTGGCTGAGTGGTTTAGCGGGGATGAAAGTGGTGCTTCTCTCGACCTTTAGTAAATGCGTTCACAGCTCCAGCATCACCCACTTATCCACCAGCATGCAGACAGTCTTTGTCACGAACATCCATCTCACTTCCGTCACACTGTCCTTGACTTTCCGTCTGCACTCCGGACTTCCAGGCTTTGGCCTTCCAAAACACCTTTTGAAATGACTCATGTTGGTAGATTTCATTTTGCTAATGTGTTTCTCATTAACCAGACCTTTCTTACTGCATTTCTTGTGTGTGCGATTGGTTTTTGGTGTCCATTCATTTATTCTTAAGGGCTTTGGCCTAACTTCAAGAATATCATCTAAGTCTCCTAAAAATTTTAATAACTCGTAGTTCTCCGATTAACATTGTATTTGAATTTTGAGTTTTATTCATCCTGTGGATTTATAGTATGTGAATCTCGAGTTATTTATAAAACAAAAGTTTTATTTTGCATACTTATATAGAAGGAAAAATCAAGCTTTTAAGATAAGCTGTTTTAGATAACTGAAATGATTTTAAATAAAAAAACCAAAGAATTATGTGCAATATAGAAACACATACTCTTTAAAAGTAACAAATTGTGGTTACTTTGAGTGCTTTACTAAGAAACTGGGAACAGTTCAGTGTTTATAGTCTTTAAAAAGAATGTAACGTGTGCATGTTCTGTATGTGTGTATGTGTATTTGTGTATTTTGTATTGTATAATATTTATGGTGTTTTTGTGATGTACAATATTACGTGTGCTGATGTTATTTTATAACTAATCTCTTAAAGCACTAAATGTTTGAACAACTTCCTATCTTGCCTTTAACCTAAATCATTCCTTTTTTTAACCTAATTTGCCTAATTCATCGATATTAGACATGTAGTCAAATTAGGGGCTTTTTATATGTTAGAGAAAAGTATTATGAATTAAAATTCCTTTCATAGCCTCTATTTTCAAGCCCTTCCCTTAATACAACGTAAAACATAGCCCGTGAAGGCTCTTCCTACACTTGTCTGTTCATCTTTTCTTTGGAATTGGCCGCTTAACACTCTAATTTCATACGTCCGTGAACCTGGGTCTCGGACAAACCACAAGTGGGATTTACAGCACTTTTAAGTTAAACCTCACTTGCTGCCTCCTACAGTCCCAAACCTGAAATTGGGGAAGATTGGGAGTGGGGAGATGGGCCCTGAACCAGGCAATATCCTGTCGAGGCTCCTGGGAAGGAGGGTGCTGTGTCAGCTAGAAGTAAGATGCCTGATAGGTCCTGCATGGGGTGCCTCATAGGATATTACTAAGTCCTGGGAGCTTAGAACTGGGAAAATTTGCTGGATGGCGCATCTCTCCCCTTGGGATGATAGAGCTCTCAGAGGTGAAGGGCCTGACTTCATAGCCTGCAGGCTGATTATTGGAGCAGAGGGCCTGGCACAGAGACCCCCGCCCCAACCATGTTGTTGCTACACCACATCTTCTGTGCTTACCTTCGTGCACGTGGAACCCTTTCCTTAGATCAGCGCTTACTCTGTGCATTCTTCTTTGGGTGAGTTTAAGGGTCAAGGGAAGTTCAACAACCAGTTCATAGCTGGGGCCAGGAGACTGCCCCTCAAACCATGGTGCAGGCCTAGAAAATCCAGTACGAAGCTGGACAGCAGGATAGGAGGAAGAGCAGTAAATTTGAGAGTTCTGCTTCTCCGCCCCCTTATCAAAAGAACTGTGACCCGGTTCCTGGGTCTCACAGGCGGGGTCAGCCTGGAAGGACAGTGTGTCCACCAGGGCCTGCCATATGGTCCAAGAAGCAGGTTTTTTAAGTCAGACAGAACCCTCAGGACAGTGAGGACCGGGCCTTTAGTGAGAACAGAAATTCTTCTGAATTTCAGCTTCTCTGATATAGAAATTTAGGTAATTTAGTTAATTTTCTTTTCTGCTACTTGTTAAAGTTATCCTTTATAATCAAGTGAGACAACATTCTTATCAACTTATCAAATTAGAGGCTTTACAGACTCCTCAGTCAGAGGGTGCACACCGTTGCTAGACTGTGGGAGCCTTCTCGGCTCTCAGCACAGGCCCTGAAGCTGCTGTTGTCCACACGCTGATGCTCTCAAGCTGATCTTCAGCTGGGATGCTCACTGGTTATCACAGATACTGAAGTGTTTCCGTACCGCCTGGTAGACATCCACCTCCACAAGCTGCGCTTCCCTGGCCTCCGAAGCAGTGAGCGGCGTCCCTTAGCTCTGCGCCTGTGCTCTGCCGGTTTTAAAATGTTCTGATTATCACACTGAATATAGTGTCACATCGACTGATGAGATGCCCTGAGTTAACGGAAACCTCTGATTACCAAAGATGTCTGTAATCGTTGCAGTAGAAAGAATATTGCCACTGGAAAGTTTTGCATTAAAAATGTGTTTCTTGTTATCTTAAGTTACCTGCTTAACCAGCTCTTTTCTCATGGAAGGAAAAAAGGGAGTTTGAAAAAAGTAAGAGTGAATTTGCCTCCTCTTTGCTTAAAATTAGTCCCTCCATTTTTTCCTAGAATCATGATCAGAGGACACCCTGGCAGGCCTCAAGCTGAATTCTGCCCACAGACGTATTCTCTGTGACTTGAGCAGGCTTTTTGTTCTTGTTTTAATTTGAATTAATTGCTAAACATTTAAAAAATGGAAGACTTCTGACAACATTTAGTTTTCCTACTTCTAATGAAAAATGAGGATCTGGCAACACTTGCGTGATTACTGCATGGCACGCGTCCTCTGGAACTGAAACAGTGCCTGCTGCTCAGGGAGGAGCGTGGCGGTGCAGACACCTGTGGGGCGTGCCACCTCTAGTCCAGGTGCTCTGCTGTGGGGACTGTCAGTACCTCATTTTTAAGTACTTAAATAAGATCAATACTGTAGAGTTGTTTTGTGAGAATTATTCTCCCCTCCTTCAGGAGCTTATCTTAAAATCAGGCCCCTCTACGTGAAAAAATAACAACAACAACTAACCGTCCTGTGCTGACCTTTACTAAAGGGTCGTCTTCGGGAGAGATCTAGCGCTCTCTTGCTCAGGGCACAGTTGTGAAAGTGGTGGAAGTGGAAACAAGTTTCTCCTAGCAAAACCATTCACAGTGTCAGAGCTGTGAAACAAATCTCTTCAGATTTGCTTTAAACACAGGTCAAAGAGGCTTTCTAATGATCTTCATTTGGGGCAGATTCTTTGCTTAATGCCTTAAAAAGACTCACAGAAATAAAGTAATTGAACTTCTTAATCAGGGGGGGAAAGACATCATTTTCAATGGTAAACCTTCTCTGCACTTCTGAGCCAGTCTGTCAGAGTTTATCCGAGAAAAGGAAGCACTCATCTCTTCTTCCCTTTCTCATCTGCTGAAGGTTTTCAGTTAATCCTAATCACTTTTCTCCAGTGATTTTATTCTGTGAATGTATCCTAATTAATTTAGGTTACATTATGCTCTGTTGTTCTCTCTCTCATGCACACACATCTCTCTCTGCCATCCCCTGGTTTATAGTATCTCGTTGTGTGCTCTGTGACCTGTGTGACTATTACAGTAGTTTTATAACAAATCTCTTCATTCATGTCATAATGTCAGAAAAGGTTTAATTTAACCATGAAGACTCTCCTAATAAACAGAAAATTGAATGAACAATTCACTAATTCTTAAATTTGCCAGAGCCTTGATCAAAATAGCCACTCTTTTAAAATAAAGTCTGATAATTAAGGTACTCATTGGAGACTGGTACTTCCTTCCAGACAGTAGGAGCAAGTATGTTCTATAACAACATTAAACATTAGCTGGCTTCTATTAAGTGAAACTAATTTCCAGAATTTGAACGTCATTCCTTTGAAATACGACAGATAAAGGTGTTATAAGAGCAGTTGCTCCAGGGGCAAAGGGACTCGCACCGGCTGTCTGTGGTGCAGAATAGATGTGGCCTTGCCAGGTTTGGACAAGTTTAAAGACTTTTATAAGTGATTTGTGAGCGTGTTCTAAACTAGAGATAGTATACGATCACTTTACTGATATTTGTAGGATTTTGCAAGCTTCTTTCCCGGTATTTTTGCAAAGTACCTTCTTTATTTTCATGGGCCATCACTGGAAGCTAACAGTATAGGCAAAGTAATGTATAATTGGCATGTATTTCCTAACACCAGTCTTGCCAAGCCCCAGTATAATTTGGGACCATATGTCATTGTATTACTTTAAATTCATTTTCTAGATTCTCCACACACCCACCCAATATCATGTTTATACTGAATTTTGGCTTTTCTGCTTAATTTTATCTTGTTTAGCTTGACCCTTATCCTCCGCCAAAATTTTTATTTTGTTGCCAAACAGGGACCTGAAAGAGCCTGGCTTGCTGAGTGCAAAAGTCAAAAGGAAATCCATGCAGTACATTGCATGAGTCCTCTTTCACTTTATTGTATCTGATTTCACCCAGTGGCCCGAGTAGCAGTTCAGGGAGATCTATCAAAATTGAACGGAGACCCTGTCTATCTGTATTTGTATGTGCATCTAGTCTTGCACTCACCTGCCACAGCCTCTGTTGGAGTTGATTACTGGGGGCACCTAGGAGGCCCTCTGGCTGACGCATGTGCCCTCAGGCCCCTGCCCGTCCTGGGAGGGCAGCAGGTACGACTGGAGCCAGCTACACTTCCCACCCTGTAGTTGAAATGATACTTCTGTTTTGTTACGTGTTGACTCCTGGAGGAAGGTGGTTAGCAAAATCTGAGTGCATAAAACTGTGATACAGAGCCTGCCACAAACTAAACGTCTTGAAGAAAGTTCCCGTTGTGGAGAGCTGCTCCTCTGGGCGGGTTCCTGTCGCCCTGACGCTCACCAGCTGTCCTCCCTGGAGAGCCTGGGCTCAAAGGCCAGGCCTGGGAAGCGATAGGTGGGATGTGCTGTGCCCTCTGGCCCCTGGAGAGAATACTTCTAACATCTCGCTTATGTGGTGACATTTAGCTCGCCGCCTGCAGCTCAGCCCATGGGAGAGCAGCGTTGTTAGCAGACTGCTGACGCCCACCCACTCGTTCCTGGCCAGAAGTAAAAGCACAGCTGCCTTGTCTGGAGACGCAGGTAAAACCACCGAGGCGCGCTTCCTGGCGAGGTGAAGCCTAGGAAGCATGTCTGCGCCGCCAGTGTTCCTCTGTCTCGTCTCCATCTTCCCGTGTGCTTCTCTTCTCTGGGTGGAAAGGCTTTGGGGATACCCTGTCGGCACTGGTTCCATGCCCCTGGCACTGCTTCCCCTTCGCGTCCATCTTAGCATCTTGCTGGGACGAGATGCAGGCAGACAGAGGATGTCCCGCCTGAGGTCAGGTGGCTTCAGATGCTTCCGTCTGTGCCTCACATGACCAGAAATACCTATCCTTACCTGCCCTTCTTCTCCTGCGTCTGAACAGGTGGTCACAGGTAGACATAAGTTAATATTTGATACCAACGTGCAGACTTGGGAATGAAATCAAAGCAGGAGCCCACTTACGCCTGGAGTTTCATAAAGTGGCCGCACACTGGCTACTTAGCCGCCCTGTGTCAGCCTTTTATATGTAATCGAGGAGTAAATGTGCCCTTCCAAAACTCTTGAGAGTTGTGTGAAGGCTAATTATAGTGTTCTTATTTGTTACATACGTTGAAAATACGTAAAATGTGCCAAGTGCTGGTTAGCATAATTAGTTGTAACTCCTCTACTTTTTTGAAAGGCAAAACATGTGCTGAATGAGCCAATTAATTTAATGAGAAGTTAGTTGGGAGCCTTTCTCCAGCTGGGAGGAAGGATGCACATTCGGCTTTTGGCGGTGCCCCTCACGCGCTGAGTTGATTTGGAGTCTCCCAGACATCTCTGGGCACAGCTGGGACGCCCGTGCCCCAGCCACTAGCGCTCATCTTTGGCACTTAGAAGTGGCGTAGCCTCTCCATCACGTGTCCTCTGCAAGCTCTTCATGCTCGTGAGCCTCTTTGCAGGGAGTGGTTCTTGGTGGCTCTGTGATGTCCTCCCTCTGTGGTGCCCAGTGCGCTAGTATCAGCCCTGGTTCTCACAGTCCTCTGGAGGCGTCCCCACCACCTGCCCCGGAAACCGGCTGCTGTGCCGACTACTGACTCACAGCAGGGCCCCTTAGAGGACAGGCGGGCAGATGTTAAACCTGCTCCTGTACCCCTCCGTCCTCTGCACCCTCGAGCTGCTCCGTGTACACGTGTGCCTGCAGCAAGCTGGGCCTCCGTGTTCTGTGTGTTCTCTGACTGCCTCTCCCATCAGCTGTCACATTGCATCTGAGATTTTCCTGGAGGAAGACGTACAGCTCCTCTCAAGATAGTTTATTTCTTAAGCCTGTGAATGTCATACTTTATGCAAGTTGTGAAAGCTTTCTTTACATCCAGCTAATTGAAGAACCTTTAGAACTGCTTCTCGCTCCTGTGTCACAGGCTCTAAACAGCTTGTGGAAACTGTGCTTCTAATCTCCACATTGTGTGTTGTTTTGTCCTAAAGCGCGGCCTCACGGCTAAAAGCAGTGTCCCTCTGCTGTTCCTGTCATCACTAACTCTTGTCCTCTCGCCCTCCCTGTAGTCTCTCCAGCACCTTCTCCTCATTTTCCACCCGTTCTCCCGGCCCGTCTTCCGTCGTCCTTCTTCACTGTTGTGCTCAGTCAAGGTGCTTTTTACCTGCTGACTCGCTTTTTGCGTTGCAACTTCTCCATCCTCCTTTCGGCAGATCGGCACGTTTCCGTGTTGATTTGAGCGTGGAGCAATGCACGGCCGGCCCCTGAGTTGCCTGTTTTATTAATACCTTCCTTAGGTCATTGCATCAATACAGCTTATGTTTGATGAACCAAAACTGTTGTTTTTTAAACATTTCCATTGGAAATTATATATGTAAACGTCTCATACGTGTATCCTGTCAAAAACCCTTTCCATCACTTTCATTTCCCACCTGCTCTCCTTGAGGATTTTCCCTTGTCTTCTCATTTTAGTGTTGTCCCTTGAGTTCTGTTTTGTTTTTTGTTTGTTTGTTTTTTGCTGAGGAAAATTAGCCCTGAGCCAACATCTGTGTCGGTCTTCCTGTATTTCGTATGCAGGACGCCTCCACAGCGTGGCGCACCAGTGGTGTAGGTCTGCATCCAGGATTTGAACTTGCAAACCCAGGCTGCAGAAGTGGAGGGCACCAAACTCAACCACTACGCCACAGGGCAAGCCCCGCGTTGAGTTCATTTTATGTGCAAGTGCCCTTGGCAAGAGGATGACCTCGTCGAGAGCCAGGGTGCCAGCAGCAGATGAGAGCAGCCCTCCTGACCCCTAGGGTGTTCGGTGGCTGCAGACTCCCCAAGCAAGTGAAAAGAGCCATTGGAAATTGGAAATCAGTCTGACCCTCTCGTTGGGGCCACTGCTTTTGGTTGGCTTTTCCACGCCCGCTTATTAAAATTCACTTAAAATACGTGTGATTATTAGAGCTCAGGATTAAATGAGTTCGTATGTGTAAAATGCTTAGAATGCTACTTGCACATAGAGTCCCTCAACAAATGTTATTAAGATTATTATTATTTTACTATGTAATTCTTCTCTGTGCTGCACTCCAGCCACTAGAACTGCATCATCTTTGCACCGTTATTTCACAGGGAAGATCGCAAGTGAGTTAAATTAACACACACCGGCTACCAAGAGGAGAAGGGAATACAGACACTGCAAGACTTCCTCAGAGACATTCCAAAGAGAATTTTCATGTTCAGTAAAACTGCCTTGGGGATACAGAGGGCACTCTGAGGAAAAGAATATATATGTATTGCTCTTCCTGTCCCTTCAGGAGGGCTAGATTATTAGAATAATTGATTTAAAGATTTCCGGTTTGTCAGTAGTTACTGTTCAGAACAACAGTGAATTCATGAAATGTATTCCCTTAGAGGGAATTTACAGTGTATATTTCAGCCAGACGATGTTTCTTGAGCAATGAAACTTGAGGGTTTCTGTATAGACTGCACTGGAAGGTTTAAGGATCTTGTCATCCTTTGCTTAGCATCACCTCACGCTGTGATAAGGAATGGACTAGCGGCCTGATGAGATTGGCTACATCCAGGGTGGTCTCAGGCAGTAATCACAGACACCCCTGAAATTATTACTCTCCACCAGAGGAAAAAGAAGTCATATTTCTGTGCTGCATTCCTTTTTCAGTGTTGGAGCAGGGCTCTTGTCCCGGGTTTCTCGATCCTTGGGAATGGCCTCCGGCTGTGCCCAGGGCCCCACAGAGGCGACCGGGCCAGGATGTTACTCTTGAAGTGCGTTCGATTGGCTTGGCAGGGTTTCGCATTACTGACCTCTCTCCCTGTCTGGGGGATGCAAAGGCTCTGTGTGGCACTTCAGGAGGGGTTACTTTCAAGTAGTTGCCCTGTGATCGCAGCACCAAGGACCTGCCTTCACCTTCAGGGTCGGAAGCAGAGCTTCATGTCCATTCGCAAGTAAGACGCACGTTCTGCTAAGGAGAACTGAGGGGATGCGAAGGTAGCTTATCCTGAAGAAACAGATTCTGTTTTGAAATGAAAAGGAAATGCAGCCTCCAGTCCCTTCACCACCCGGACCATCAGTGGTGACCAGAGGGTACCGCACTGGATGAAAGAGAGCACACGAAGGAAGAGGCAGTCTGATCGACTGTCTGTAGATTAAACCAAAATCACAGATGTTCTTTGAGCTCTACGATTCTGAAATTAGGATTACCCCAAATTTGTCTTGTGAACTTTTGAGTTTTTAATTTATTAATACTATCATATTCAGTCGACACAAAATCCTCCCTTTGAAGGATTGTACGATGGCTAGAGTTGGGTGGAGTCACTTTATAACATGGTGCAAAGACATATTCTCCTCAGTAGTCATGTTTAATTGTCGTATTTTTTGCTGGAAAACAAAATTTCTGGATGAGATCTGAAATTGGACCTTGGCTCCTTAGTGCCCACACTTGAGACACCTATGCATCCTTGTCAGAATTTCTTTAAACCCATTGTCACTCAGAATCACTTGGCTAATGACAGTGTTTCTTTGAAGTCAAATTATCAGAAACTGTACGTGGTTTTTCAGAAAATATTCCATCTTGAGAAAACCTGTAAAAGCTATTCATGATTTGACCTTATTTTTGGTGGTTCTAACCTATTTATGTTCTATTCACCGTCTAAAACGCTCACATCTCGTCTGTCCCCGTGTCCTCTCCTGCTGCTGCTTGTGAACCGTCAAATGCCGTGGCTTCTGGGAAGACCCAGAGCAGGCATTTGATTTGCCTTTAAATAGATAAAACATTTACAGGATTTTTTTTCTGGAAATTATTGGTTGTCCTTGTAACAAGTCTTAACACCTGTGGAGACTTGGTCATTGCACGTTTTAAAGATGCGGCTGCTTGTCCCTGCTGGCTGCTGGCTTGACTCCTGCGGCAGCTGTAGGGAATCTTGCTTGCCTGCTTGCTCGCTTCCTGTCTTTATGCCTTTTGTTCCATCTTAAAGCTAATTAGGAAAAAGCTGATTATAAACCAGTCATATACAAAAATTATCGCTAATGTAGCGTTTTACCAGAACCATCAATTTATAGGAATAGAAGGCCATTGCTTTCCATCATCATTGGATTACATCTGTATCTTTAATCCGTGTTTAAGTAGCCAGATAGCTTATATATTCCAGATTTTTCATCTGGACATGCCTTCCTTTTGGACACTGTAAACTGGCAGGGCTGTGAGGACAGTTGAGGGTGATGGTTCTGGACGCCTCTGGGTAATGACACCTTCTCCCTACTTTTCTCTCTGTCTCTGCTTTGCTCCTCGTCCCGAACCTGCTCTTGCCCTTCCTTCTGCTGCTCCTCTGGCACCCTTCTGTGTAAAGCAGTCCCCTGCACCCTAGTTATCCCCATTTGTCCTCGTTCAGCATCTTGCAGCCCCATCAACATCATGCCCTACAAAGCTGCACACTCTAGAAATCCGATGGAGCGACCAAAATTCTTTGTAACGCCGCCCGAGGGCTCTGCGCGGAGGAGGACTGTCCATGGCACAGTGGTGAGTAGTGTTGGGAGCCGCTGGGCGCTCTGCACACTTTCTGTGCGGAGCAGATGCCACCCCAAGGCCCACTGTGGGTGTCAGGAAGACCAGGGGTGGCGACCTCCACCGTCCCATCCATCCACCCATCTGGGATCTGGCTGGCTGGGTGGTCACGTCCTCACGCTCCCTCTCCACTTGGGGATTTTGTTCCCCCTAAGAATTTGAAGATGAAATTGTTCTCTGTTCAAATGTGTAAACATGCATGGAATTGTATTTGTCTTCATCAATACAAATAAATGCGCTGCCAGCATACTTCTGTTCTTGAAAGTAAGGAAACCTGTGAGGCCTGGGCTGCTGCCTCTGCATTTCATTCCAGCCAGATCCAGAAGCTGGCAGACCTCTCACCAGTGTTCACTGAAAGCAATATAAAGAATTTTTATCTGCTTAGCTAGTCCCTGTCAGGGCCCAGATCTTAAGATATGGTGACAAAGTATCTTGAAAACACTAGTTATTTGCTAAGTAATTAATTCTTGAAAAGCCAATAGGCTGTGCTACAAACTCAGATTTTACAAGTAAAGAATATAATACACATCCTGGTTATTCCTGGAAGGAGGCTGAGCTGGGGTTAATTTCCACTGTGCCGTAAAGGCACTGATGTAACTTGTGTGTCTCCAGGAATCTCTCTTCTTCTTTGATTTAAACTGTGCATGTTTGGTATCCGATGAAAGATATGGACCTTGTTCTGTGGTCTTCAGACACCATACTTCAGTCTGAAAGGACTCGCCAGTCAACCAGAAGGTCTTGTCTCTCTCCCATGGTAACAGCATGACCGAGTTAATGAAAGGCTGGAACAGTTTTTTTAGATCTTAACTTCCCAGAGCAGTTCAGATTTATAAAGCTGATGGGCCCTTAAAAGGGTTTTGCTTAGGCATTTTAGGATAATTCCAGGGTTGTGAGAGCGTGATGGCTTTGCCTGCGGGCAGTTTTTCAAGCCCGTCAGGCGTTAGGGAGTCAGCGTGTAATTCCTGCTTGAGTCAGACCCCCAGCCCTTCAACCAAACGGGGAGCTGCCCTGGGGTGTCGGGAAGGTGTCCCTCACTCGCATGTTGCTGCTTCAGAGATCCCAGCCGTGGACAGAAAGCAGCAGTTAAGCAGAACAGCTTTGGCCCCAAAGGTTGGGCACTTATTGGGGAGGGGAAAGCGTTACCGAAGGAGAAATATCTTGTTGTGGATGAAAACAAAAATTAACACTCCAAGAGGAGAGGAGGAGAGCTCACCCTTGGCCAACCTATTCACTGAGGTTTTCATCGCATGATCCAGTCTCCACTTTCCCACGTTTTATTTTTTTAATGCCTTCCTTTTCTGTATTTGATCTATGGGCCTTCTTTTCTCCTCTTTACAACCAAAAATTTAGGTAAATACCTATTGCCAAAAAATGACTCTACAAGTCATGTGTACCCCAGAATGGCACCATGGACTCCAGCCGAGTACCAGCCACATGTGGCTGCTGAGCACTCGAATGGTGGCCAGTGAGGCCAACAGACCAAGCTTTACCTCTGTTTTTAAAAATGTTTAATTATAGCAAAAAACATATAACAAAATTTCCCATCTTAGCCATTTTTAAGTATATGGTTCAGTAGCATTAAGTGTGTTCACACTGTTATACAGCCAATCTCCAGAACTTTTTAAATCTTGCAAAACTGGAACTATGCCCATTAAACAGCTCCCTGTTTCCTTCTCCCCAGACCTTGGCGACCACCATTTCTCTTTCTGTTTTGGTGGATTTGACTACTTTAGACGCCTCATGTAAATGGAATCTGACAGTGTGTGTCTTTTATGACTGGCTTATTTCACTTAGCAGAAAGTCGTCAAGGCCCGTCCATGTTGTAGAATGTGACAGGATTTCTGTTCTTTTTAAGAAGGCTAGTAATATTCCATTGTATACACATATGTATGTATGTGGATGTATTTATTTGCACACGTGCATCTGTGTGTGTACACACGTTTATTAATCTGTTCATCTGTTGATGGATGCTTGAGTTGCTTCTGCCTCCTGGCTCTTGTGAATAGTTGTGCTGTGCACGTGGGTGTGCAAATATCTCTGAGATCCTACTTTCCGTTGTTTTGTACCCAGAAGTGGGATTGCTGGGTCGTATGGTAATTCTATTTTTAATTTTTTGAGGAACTGCCATGCTGTTTTCCATAGCAACTGCACCATTTTACTTACACTTCCACCGACAGTGCACAAGCACTCCAGGTTTCCCCACACCTTCGCCGACACTTTTTATTTTGGGGTTTGGTTTGGTTTGTTTTTTTTATAGTAGCCATCTTAATGCATGTGAAGCGATACCTCATTGGGCTTTCAATTTGCATTTCTCTAATGATCAGTGATGTTGCGCATCTTTTTATATGCTTGTTGGCTATTTGTATATCATCTTTGGAAAATATCTATTCAGCTCCTTTGCCCATTTTTTAATCTTAATCTTTAATTTTACTTTTTTAATCTTCAACTTTATTTTAATTCTTCTTGTGGAGTTCTAGGAATTATTCATATACTCTGGATCTTAACCCCTTAGCAGATATGATTTGCAAATGTTTTCTGCATTCCACAGGCTACCTTCTTACTCTGTTGATTGTGTCCTTTGATACACAGGAGTTTTTAAGTTTGATGTAATCCCATTTGTCTCTTTTTGCTTTTGTTGCCTTTTGGTGTCATTCCAAGAAATGACTGCCAGATCCAATGGCATGAAGCTCCCCTATGTTTTCTTCTAGGAATTTTATAGTTTTAAGTTTTACATTTAGATCTTTAATCCATTTTGAGTTAATTTTTGTATGTGGTGTAATGTAAGGGTCCAGCTTCCTTCTTTTACGTGTGGATATCCAGTTTTCCCAGCAACATTTGTTGAAGAGACTGTCTTTTCCCCATTGAGTGGTCTTGGTGCCCTTGTCAAGGATCCTTTAACTGTATATGTGAGGGTTTATTTCTGGACTCTCTGTTCTGTTCCATTGGTCTATATGTCTGTCTTTCTGCCAGTGACACACTGTTTTGATTACTGTAACTTTCTAATATATTTTGAAACCAGAAAGTGTGAGACTTCCAACTCTGTTCTTTTTCAAGATGGTTTTAGCTGTTCAGGGTCCCTTGAGGTTCCACATGAATTTAAGATGGATTTTTCTATTTCTGTGAAAAATGGCATTGCATTTTGATAGGGATTGCATAGCATCTGTGGATTGCTTTGGATAGTATTGACATCTTAACAATAATAAGGCTTCCAATCCGTGAACACAGGATGTCTTCCCATTTATGTGTCTTAATTTCTTTCGCCAATGTCTTCTAGTTTTCCTTGTACAAGACTTCTACCTCCTTGGTTAAGTTTATGCCTAAGTGTTTTATTCTTTTGATGCTGTTGTAAATGGAAATGTTTTCTTTCTTTTTAATTTTATTTAAGTTTAACTAATTTAGATCTAAATTCAAACAGCCACTATTCGGCACCTGAAATATGTTTTGTGAGACTGAATTTCCTTTTTAATTTTATTTACATTTAATTAACTTAGATCTAAATTCAGATAGCCGAATGTGGCTAGTGGCTGCCACTGGGAAGTGCTGCCTCGGGGCCTCTGTCTGCGTTGTCTCCCTTGAAGGTGATTTGTATCTAACTCTAACTGTAAAATTGAAGTCCTTGTGCTGCCGGTAAGCTGTCAGACCAGTGACACGGGCAGCTGGCTGTTCATGTTCCAGCTCAGCCTCGGGGAGAGATGACTGCGCAGACCGCTGGCTGTTTGCTCAGCTCAGGATGGGAATCAGGAGCACCTGTCTAGGTACATACAGGTGTGGTACCCAAACAGGTGACTGGGTACAAGATCAGTGAAAAGCCATTAAAAAGAACTAAGAGTGAAGACATCCCCCTGCCTGGAGGGTGTTATCTCAGTAGTGAGCATTTTTCCAGCCGGCCCTGGCCCCGGCATTCCCTGACGCCTGTCTTATCCCGGCACAGGTGATGGAGTTCATCCCCAAAGGCTCCACACCACAGATGACCCTTCCTGACTGATTTCCCCATTCAGTTCTCTTCTCGATCTGACTGCAGCCCAGTTAAAATGTTTTGAGAAAAAGGAAAAAAAGCTACTCAAGGTGCTTGACCCCAGCCTCGTTTGGGAAGAGCCCTGGGCCTTCCACTCTGGGGGCTGATCTGCCAGAGGCGCGACTACCACCCTGGACACCTGCAGGGGGGTCTCTATGGTGGCTGCCGCTTCTGCCCCCCAGGACTACAGCTGTGCTGCGGGGACCAGAGGTGGGGGCAGAGGGTGGGCATGCAGCCACAAGAGGTGTGGAGCTGGCACACACCTTGCGAAGCCCTCTCCTGCCCCTATCTTCATTTGTTTCATTTAGAAATCCTGGGAAGACATGAAGTATTATGGACACTTAGATGCTTTCCCCTGCCTATATCCCAGTCCATCGACTAGGATGCTACTAAGGAAAATGGGGACAGGAACAGTGAAGGGGACAAAAGAGAAGGGAGCGGGGAGTTGGAGCTGGAGCCAGGCGGAGAGGAGAGAGGAGAAGGCTCAGCACCAGCCAGCCCTGAGCCCGGGCACTACTCCGCCCCTTCCCTAGCCCTGGTGGTCTGCGGTCCTGCAGGGGTCCCCAGAGCAAAGGGCTGACGGGCGCCCACACAGGGGCCTGCTCACGCCCCGCTCCCACCACGAACAGTGTCGGCCAGTGTCAGAGGCTGGGTGAGTCCCCTCGGCCCTGCGCTTCCTTTAGTCTGGGTGACTGTAGACACATGTCTCTGCATTTCCTCTCGCCCATTTGGACTTGGGACAAGTGTCGTCTCTCTGGCTCAACCCCTAGTTGGCAGTCAGAGGAGGGTGGGTGGTTTGGCCACCATGAGATTTCAGTCTCATGCCTAGTGAAAAAGACTAAAAGTAGCTAGAGTTCCTCACCTTGAACCTGACTTTCCTTCGAGAGCCAGAGGACACCAGGTAAGGAAGGGCTGGTTGGATAACATCAGTGCAAAGAAAATAATGAATTAATGTCTGATACAGCGATGTGTACGTTAAAAAAACAGACTGAGCGACGGTATGTTTTGGGGTGAAAGGAAAAAGGCTAAAGAATTTTAAAAGATAAAGGTGTGGAAAAAGAAAAAACCTGGAAGTGAGTTTTATGTTCACATTGGTGTGGGTCAAACCGGACGATGAGCTTCTGCTCCAGGTAGTTCAGACACACAGTGTGGCTGCTTTCCAAAAGGATGAGTGGTTTTGTTCGTTTGTTTTTACAAATATAACTCCAAATCACACATCCAGAACCTCCTTATTGGTGTCACATGGTGTCAATTCAGGTATAATGTTCGGTTTTAAGCTAACAAGGGCCTTTTGTTGGGGGTTGGATATATACATGAGAGAGATGGGAAACTTCCAGAAAGTCATTCAGTGGTTGCAGCTCCACTGTTGAGTTGCTGAATGTGGTTGTCCCACTCCTGAAAAACCTGATTCCTGTGTTTCTCTGAATTTAGGGCTCTAAAAGAGAGAGGGAGCGAGACAACGTTCCCTTCCACCCGACAGCTGGCGTCCGAAGGGCTCTGTCCCCATCACATCCGAAAGCCAGGCCGCCGGCTCCCTCACGACTCTGGTGAGTGAGGCAGGCAGGCTGGCGGCTGCTCGCGCTGGAGGCTCAGCAGCCTCCGTCCCCTCAGAGGAGCTGTTCCGCCACTTGTTGGCCTCGACATAGGGAAGAAGAAAGAAACCTGGAGAGAGCCTCTAAAGTGAACGTGTGTGCGTCTGCCATCAGGGAAGACAAAGGCACAAAGCTGAAGACCGTCATTCCTTTCCATATGGGTGTCTGGGACCATCACATGGTGGGGGGGCGGGGATGGACAGTTCCAGAAAGCCTGTGCTGATGTGTCCCCTTCTCTGCCCTTGGTCTGTCACCCAGGCTCCCATCCAAGTCCTTCCCTCACCTGCCCGGCACACCCAGACCAGCATCCACCCTGCCTCCCGGCTCAGCCAAGGCTGCACCCTCGCAGGCCTGGCCCCCCTCGCCTGGCAACATCCGCCCTGTCAAGAGAGAAGCTGGGGTGCAACCTGAGAGAAAAGAGCCTGAGGAGGAGCCTCAGGCAGTCGCCAGTGAGCCCTGGCCAAAGGGCAGAGCACCCCTAGTTAAGGTGGAGGAAGCCACAGTGGAAGAGGGGACACCGGTGGAGGCAGAAGCCACCCCGGGTAAGGGCCCCTGGCTGGCAGGAGTGGGTGTTGGCTCTCTTTACTTGCTCTCCCTTTCTCCTGCATTGCCTTTATTCAGCTTTTTTTTTTTTTCCTTATTGGGAACTTATAAATTTCACTCTGAGGCTAATTTTGGGGCCTTAGGTAATTTCCTTACATATAAAGAAAGTAGAATCATACATCCCAAAGCCTATGGTTGGAGCCGCAGCCCATGAACCCAGGCGTGGCTTCTGATTCCTTTCACTGGCTGAGCCCCGTGTTTCACACTGCGTGCCTTTAGAGCATGGCGTCAGACCCACGTGTATTAGTTATCTATTGCTGTGTAACAAATTGTCCCAAAACTTTACAGTTTAAAACAACGACCAGTGGTTATCACGTCTCCTGGATCCTTGGGTGAGAAATCTGGGAGCAGTGTAGTTGGGTGGTTGGTGGCTGTTGGTGGCTTGCCTCCATTTCACGACACATGAGCCGCTCCAGAGGGTTGCTTGCTTGACGTTCTCAGTCTGCCTGCCTGTTCCACTGGCTCCCCCCAGAGCGCACGATCTGGGAGAGAGTCGTGAGGAATCCACAGTGCCTTTTACACCTAGTCTCAGACGTCACACACACACGTCACAGTTTCTGCCGTCTTCTCTTCATGGAAGCGAGTCAGTAAGTTCAGCTCACTCCCGTGGAGGGGATTCGTCTCTGCCTTTTATAGGGAAGATTTTCAAAGAATCGATGGAAATATTTTTAAGCCCCCTCATCTGTGGTGTCTCAAACTACAGAACCTTGGCCCTACCTCAGACCTACTGACTCAGAATATGGGGTGGGGCCCCGGCCCTCTGAAGGGTACTGAGCTCGCAGTTGACTCGTGTGCAGGGTTGGCAGATAAATACAGAGGGGCCAGTCATCACCCTCCTCCTGTGCGGGCGGGAGTTGAAGGACTCTGCTCAGCCTGTGCGCTTCACCGGGGTCAGAACTTTCTCCAAAAGACCCCGAGGCTCTCCTCTCTGCCAGGCTAATCAAATGCCGTTTAGAAGTTTAAAATCACCTGGAACTAGGCCTGTGCTATTTCTTGTTGAAAATTGTCTGCATTCAAACCTTTTCTTGTTAAGACTTAATTTGGAGACAGAGCAGGTCAGGGCAAAGAAAAAATGGATGTTCAAGATGATAATGTGGTTGGAGGGGGAGGAGCCCCACATTTGCATGGGAGAAGGGAGGAAGGCCAGAGAGCATCCTGAGGGTAAAGGAAAACCTGTGGGAGCAGGAGGAGGAACGTAAATCCTGAGAGGAGGGCCTGGAGTGGTCGGGTGCCGAGACAGCGCCTCGCTCTGCGGCCTCCGTGGGCTCCCTGCTCTGCCAGCTCTGTAGGCCTTTCTCCCGAACCTGAGTGAGTCGGAGAACATCTGCTCCCATCTTGCTTCTTTGCATCAGGACTGACGGTGGAGGCCCAGGATGGGTGAGGGGCACGAGGGCCAGCTCCTCCCATCTCAGCCTGGAGATGGCTCTGGGTAGACAGCAGGGACCACCTCACTGGGTGTTAGCTTCCGGGCCTGACGGTGTGGACGCTGAGGAGGCTCGCAGGAAGGCTTTCATCCTCTCGTGACGAGTAGTCACTCAGGAGAGGGAGTTTTTTAAACGTAGTGAAAGGCAAATGAAGGATCCCATCCTCTCTTTGCTCAGGGTGCCACTCCCCACCCAATCTAAGGTGAGGCTCTGTAGTCGGTACTCATTCGACGTGTGTTAACCAGTTTAAAGTCTGAGAATCAGGCCAGGTGAAGAGCGGGCCCTTGACGGGATGGCTCACTGAGACAGGCAGCTTTTTGTTACCTGTTGCTTGGTTCCAGAGATTGCAGTGAAACTGGGAGAACCCACGTGATAAACATTCCCTTTTCTTTATAATGATGCATTCTAGGCCTGGGCTGTGGGGAATGCTTGTTTTCATTTTGTTCTTTGGGTTTTGTTTCTACTTTTGTTCTTTCCTTGTACCTGTTTGTACAGCTGCTCCAGCCGCAGCCCCGGCCACCACCTCGGCCCTGGTCCCAGCCCCAGCTTCAGCCCCTGCCCCGGTCCCAGGCCAGCCATCCACTGTGACTGCCAGCACTTCTCCTAAGACCTCTGCAGGCACCACCGACCCGGAAGAGGCCACGAGGCTGTTAGCTGAGAAGAGGCGGCTGGCCCGCGAGCAGAGAGACAAGGAGGAGCGGGAGCAGCGCGAGAGGGAGCAGCGCGAGAGGTGAGGGAGGGCCTGCTCCCTGCTGGGATCAGTGGCCTCACGGCGTCCCTGGATTAGGCCTCGGGCCTGGAGGCCAGAGGCAACGATGGTGATGAAGGGAGTGGACTGGGTGTTCAGGGCTACTCTTATCTGGGGTTCCTCTGACCACTAAGTGATATTTGTTAAATCACTTTTTCTTATTATAATGAAAATACATTATTAATGGAGAAAGGTTTAAAGAAAAAAAATTTATCCATGATCTTACCAGTTTTCAGTAACTGTACATTTTGGGCAATCCTTTCCAGTCTCTGAACAGTATGTGGGTGTATATAGGTACATAAACACACACACGTATTTATGTAATTATGCCCGCGATAGAGGTGCAGTTGTACGCTCTGAGTTTTTCTTCTTAGCATATCTTTAATCCCCTTGTTTCTTCATCATCTAATTATTTTAAAGCTGTGTCGTAAGAGTCCATGTTCTCTTCCTTCCAGAGCTCCTCTCAGAGGGTAGCTGGGTGGTGAGCAGCCCGGGACTGACAGGCAGCATGCTGGGTGCTTCCTTAGCCAGTGTCCTCCTGGGCTGACGAGGCCAGCACAGTGTAACTGTCCTTCAGATCAGCACAGTGCCCTTCGGAAGGCACAGCCCCGTGCTTGGCCACCACCCTGGCTGTCCGCCCTTGGTCCCAGCAGGGAGCCTGCGTGGTCCACCACCCTGCCTGTCCTGTGACAGAACATTATAACCTTTATTCATTTAAAAGATTTTCCCTTTTTTTTTTTGGTGGAAGGCGGCTTCCAATTTCTTGCTAAAAAGTCACATTATTGGATTAAACAAGTCTCAGCCTTTAAAGATAATTAAATTGCAGATCCTTTTAAAAAACAAGCTTTCCTCCGGAAGGCTGGGTGGTGCAGTGGTTAAGTTCACGCACTCTGCTTCAGCAACCCAGGTGTCATGGGCCCAGATCCTGGGTGCAGACCTAGCACTGCTTATCAAGCCATGCTCTGGCGGGGTCCTACATAAAATAGAGAAGATGGGCACAGATGTTAGCTCAGGGACAATCTTCCTCAAGCAAAGAGAGGAAGATTGGCAACAGATGTTAGCTCAGGGACTATCTTCCTCACCAAAAAAAAAAAAAGCTCTCCTCAAAATATTAGTGGTTGCATTTGCTTCTGTCTGCCAGAATGCAGCACGAGGCTGGGAAGATGTGAGGAGGAGTAGAGGGCGGCCCATGTTTTGTCCCTGAACGCTACATCCGGGGAGGGTGTTCTGTCAGACCTCTGAAGGAACCTCCTTGAGGTGGTCGGTCACAGCCTCTCTTAAGGGGATCCTCTCGTGTGCCTTTGCTTTGTTTTTGTCTTTTTCCAGACAAAAGGGGGAGGAATTGGCTCAAAAGGTGGCTGAGGAGAGGATGCGCCGGGAGGAGGAGTCGCGGCGGCTGGAAGCTGAGCAGGCCCGCGAGCGGGAGGAGCAGCTGCAGCGGCGCCAGCGCGAGGAGGCCGCGCGCGCCCAGAGGCAGGTGGGTCCCGGTCCCGGGTGGGCGAGCGGAGGATGCTCTGTGCTGCAGGCACTCACCTTCCGCGCGTGCCCAGAGGCAGGTGGGTCCCAGTCCTGGGTGGGCGAGCGGAGGATGCTCTGTGCTGCAGGCACTCGCCTCCCGCGTGTGCCCAGAGGCAGGTGGGGCCCGGTCCTTGGGTGGGCGAGCGGAGGATGCTCAGTGCCGTGGACACTCACCTTCCGCGTGTGCCCAGAGGCAGGTGGTGCCCGGTCCCGGCTGGGCGAGCGGAGGATGCTCAGTGCCGTGGACACTCACCTCCCGCGTGTGCCCAGAGGCAGGTGGTGCCCGGTCCCGGCTGGGCGAGCGGAGGATGCTCAGTGCCGTGGACACTCACCTTCCGCGTGTGCCCAGAGGCAGGTGGTGCCCGGTCCCGGCTGGGCGAGCGGAGGATGCTCAGTGCCGTGGACACTCACCTTCCGCGTGCGCCCGGAGGCAGGTGGGGCCCGGTCCTTGGGTGGGCAAGCGGAGGATGCTCAGTGCCATGGGAGCCCACCTTCCGCGTGTGCCCAGAGGCAGATGGGGCCCGGTCCCGGGTAGGGGAGCGGAGGATGCTCTGTGCTGCAGGCACTCACCTCCCGTGTGTGCCCAGAGGCAGGTGGGGCCCAGTCCCGGCTGGGTGAGCGGAGGATGCTCAGTGCCGTGGACACTCACCTTCCGCGTGCGCCCGGAGGCAGGTGGGGCCCGGTCCCGGCTGGGCGAGCGGAGGATGCTCAGTGCTGCAGGCACTCACCTCCCGTGTGCGCCCAGAGGCAGGTGCGGCCGGGTCCTCGAGCGGGCGGAGCATGTTCTGTGCCCTGGCGCTCCCCTTCCACGCGCGCAGCGCCCGCGTCCTCCCCTGGCCCCTGGGCAGCCGGACCTGGGCGGCGGGCAGAGCCAGTCTGTCTGTACAAGTGGATGCCGCCTTCTTGATTTCAGAAGGAAGAGGAAGCTCGCGTTCGAGAAGAAGCAGAGAGGGCCCGGCAGGAACGGGAGAAGCACTTCCAGAGGGAAGAGCAGGAGCGCCTGGAGAGAAAGAAGGTAGTTGCCTGCGGCCGCATCCTTGTTCTGATTCGTGGGTGGACTGGACGCCGTCCAGAGTCCGAGAGACTAGCTCCCTGCCGTCAGAAACCAAACGTCTGCCCATTCCAGATGAACTGGAGTAGCTCTGTGTGAATAACCTCCCTTCCTGTGCCGGCCTTCACCCACACTGCACCTTGCGGGTCGTGGGGCTGGAGCCGGTTCCAGCTTTGAGTAACAGCAGCTGCACTGAGCAGTGGGCGGCATGTTCTCCCAGAAAAATGGGCACAGCTCAGTGACCTGCTATTTGCTAGTTGGTGACCGGGCCAGGCTGGCTTGCTTTCCCGGTCTGATCCTGCGCTCCGTTCTTCCTTCCTTGTAGCGACTCGAGGAGATTATGAAAAGAACCAGGAGAGCAGACGCTGCAGACAAGGTACGGAGCCCGACTTTCTGTACCTGTTCTTCACGGCTTGCTTTTTTTTTTTTTTATTTTCACTTGTAACTTTAACATTAGAAAGGCTTTTTCTTTTTTTTTCTTTGGTAGAAAACTGTTGATCAGAGAAATGGAGATATAACCAAGGGAACCCTCACTGTGGGAGCAGGTATGTATTTCAGAGAACTCAAATCAATTCAAATAGAGAATTTTTCAGTTGACTCTCTAGAGATCAAGATATTCACTGATTGATTGAAAAAAAAGATGCTCGTTGACTTGCAGAAGATTAGATGTGTGTCATTTGGTCCACACGTTTCCCATTTATGTAAGACTCTCCCTAGCATTCCTGACAGATGTTTTTGCACATTTGTTTATACTCTAGTGAAGTGCATAATATCTTAAATCATTTTACATCATATGTATCCTTGTAAATGTGTATGTATCTGTGTGTCTATATATGTGTATAGAGAGATATAGACACACATGTTTACGTATACACACACAGGGTTAGAAGAATTTCTTTTGTGTTTATAAAATTAAATTTCACTTATTATTTACTGTCTGCTAAAGTAACATGTATTTATATTTTGCTCTTAAGAACTTTAAACTTAAATTTTGGCAATTTGTACTTATGGCAGTTCTCAAAAAAGGATTTAAACCTTACTTCCTGTAATTCTGACTTCAGAATAGAGTTAAAATTAAAAGTTTTTTTAAATTTCGTTAGAAAGTTATTCCTATGCTATCGGGTTTGGACAGAGATGATTGATTTCCTGATGATTTTAAGCCAAATTTGGTGTGGATCAAATTTCCCGTGGTGGTTTAGTGCTCAGACGCGCTCCGTGCGGGTGGAGCACCCTCTTGGTGGCGGGTGGGCCCGAATGCGTTTCTCCTTTCCTTCCCCCGCAGTCCCGTGAGGTGGAGGTGCTGGGTCCCGGAGACCTGCCGTGTACCAGGCCCTCTTGTAGGGGCTGGGGCTCCTTGTGGACAGGACAGGCAGGGTCCTGGCCCCAGGGGCCCTCACACAGCTGAGGTCCCAGTCACCAGCTTCTAACCCTGCTCCTTCCGTGCCCCCAGGTGGTCCCCACCTCGTCCGTCCAGGTGGTTGGTGGGTGGCCCGTCACTCAGTCTTCCTCTTCCTCATCTGCAATAGCCATGTAAAAGGAAAGGGCCACAGATACCTCAGCTTTTCTGTTTTGGATTTATTTTTTTAACTTAAAAGACTGGAGTTAAGATTAAATAAAATGGTTTATGTAAAAGAACATTCTCTGTAAGCACTAGGGGTTTTCAAATGTAAAATATTGGTATTTGGGGTTTGGCTTTATTTAGTAGAGACTCCTAGTTTCTCTGTCACGATTGCTGTGTAGTGGGGTCTTCATGCTCTTTTAAAGATGTCCTAATTCTGTTTATTTGGAGAAGAGCCCAGTGGCTGCATAGTAACCTCCTGCGTTTTGAGCTGAGAATGTAGTAACAGGCTGTGAGCAGGCAGCGCACCCGTGGGTCATCACTGAGCACCTTGGGATGCAAATGGACCAACTCAGGCCTCTTTCCGCGGCTGACGCTGTATCTTGTGCTTGGCCAGGCTCCTTGTCGTGTGTTTGCTTTTTCGTCTTTTTCTTCCCCGCTGTTCCCCTGATCAATTCCTTCCACTTTCTCTGTACCTCAGTCCGAGAAGCAACAATGGCGAGAGGGAAGGTGAAACTTGCTGCTTGTCACAACTTGTTTATCAACACTCAGCAGATGCAGTTTGAGTCAGCACTGCTAAAAGTGGCCGGGGGTCATCGCCTGACAGATAGTCCCCTTATCCTGGCCCCACATCTGGTTGAGGGCCGAATGGGGTCACCGGTGCCCCAAAGAGCGTCCTTGGGTAGGCAGGCAGGCGGGTGGTGTTCAGACTTATCAGAAGTCTTCTCAGAGGCTGCGTGTTACCAGCTTTGCAAATTTGGGCAGCTTTAAAGTTATCAATCACTTCCTCGCTTCACTTGTCAGACTCTTTGTACCTCTGACAGTTTTACTAAATTTGTGCGAGGCTGTGAAATAACACTGCCTTTGAATTGTTCTCACATCAAGCCGAAACCATAAACTGCCAGAAATTTCCCTGAAACTCTGCCCTACTGAATACGAAGGTTTACAAGACTTTAGGTAGCCCTGCCCCAGACCGCGGAGTCAGTCCTCGGGATTGTTGGCTTACGCTGGACTCCAGCGCGGAGCCCTGAATGAGGAGGCCGCACAGTCGGGTGCAATTCACTGGCCTGCCGTTCGTGAAATCCCTGTCATTCTCAGTGTGCCCAGAACTAAAACGAGTTTTAGAAAACATTTTTTATTGCTTAAGGTGTTTCATGGTGAGTGGCCTCCAGTCCTTCGGTCACGATGTTCCACGTCAGCCTGATAAGTCAGCTCAGTGCTACCTTCATCAGTTGCTTTGGTTTCAATATTATACATTTTTTGTCCAAATTCAATTTAGTGCAAGCAAAAATAATAACAACTGATTTCTGCCTTTACAGTGTGCTACGCACTGTCCTGAGTACTTTGCTCGTGTTAATACATTTAATTCTCACAGGAGCCTGTGAGGTGTAGGTACTGTCATCCATGAAGAAGCTGGGGCACAGAGAGTTGTGGCTGGCCTGAGGTCACACAGCTGGTGAGCAGCAGAGCCAAGATGTAAGGATGCCGGCATCTGGCTCTGGGGTTTGGGTTAATGATAGGGTACTAGTAACCCTTTGCTCCATCTTCTTTGCCGTGTCCAGCGGTATCTGTGCTTCCGTGTGTCACGAATTCTCCAGGGAATGCAGAATCAGCGGCCAGCCCATGCGAGGTTGCCTCACACCCGTCGAAGGTGACTGTGGAGAGGTGAGTTCCACGCCCTGGGCCTTTTCTTGACACCCTGTGGGGCAGAGCAGTCCGTTCTTACCCCACCAGACCCGCCAGAGTCCCTGGGCCTGGCGGAGAGTCAGAGTCTCGGATTAAGATTTATTTTTACTCAGGCCATTAATCTTAGGCAGAGCCAGGAATTCTGTACTCTGAGAAAGGTAAACTTCTTTTTTCTTGAGTCTTTAAACATCATGGTGAAGTTCTTGTGTAACTGATAGAGAAAATTACAGGCAATAATTTACTTTTCTTTGTATATATTTAACGTGATCTAGACCACATTCCTACCCTTTAAATTGTGTATGACAACTGGGTTTTCACCATACGTCACATCATAGCGAGTCTCAGGTCCGTTCCGCAGTGAAAGGTTTCTTACCATCTAGTAATAGTAGGGCTTTTCATTGAAGAATCAGACAGTTGCTAACAACAGTCAAGAAAGAAAGTGCGTGGAAAGCAGACTGCGTTTCTCTTCCCTTGCATGTATGTCAGCAGCATCATAAGAGCACTCTCGGAAATGAAGGATAAGGGTAATCGTACCCTGTGCCTGAAAACGCAGTCAGGGAGAACTGGTAGAAATAGTTGTAATAATGTTCAAAAATTTCAGCTATGACTTTTTTTTTAATTTTTGGAATTTACTTAATTATTTTATGCGTTTTCCTGTCTCTAATGTCAGATTCTTTGCTACCATAAGAGAATTGAAGGTCCTCAAATTAATTTTTTATTAATCTAAAAACACAGACTACACATTTTATAATGTAATTGGCAGCAATGAAAAGATAAGTCACCCTGAGATGGACATCCTTCGATATCCATACGTCATAAGATATCCATTGATATCTTTTTCAGACAGTAAATTTCTTTGCATTTTGCCCACCATAATACTAAAGAGAATAATTTTCCCAAGAGAGATCTTAATAATAAGCTTTCAGTTATGTTGAATAAATTTATTATCATGATTACCTAAGATATATATTGTTATATTTAATTCTTTTAGTTAGATCTTCAAGTCAAGTGTTCATTCTCAACTTTCGTAACTTATGATGTTCAATTCATTGGCTTGAGAGATTTTTAGGAAAGAATAGAAAGTACCACAAAGAGAACCTCATTATTATGATAAGGAACAAGTTTATCAAGCTACTGATAAGTCTATCTGATCAGTAAAATTAGTTTATACATTAGCTGACTCTTTTGTGGTAAAATCACCAAGTAATTAATCATTTTATAGGAACCTGAAACATAATTTTACTATGTAAAATGATACAGATATGATTTTAGCCTCTTCACACAGAAAGGCAACAGATTGTAATTAAACAAAAAGTATAGTAGTATGAACTTCCTGGTGTCATCTGTCTTTACCGAGTAGTATACTGCCCTTTTTCATATGTGGAATTCGATCCCTGTCAAACCAGTAGGAAAAATAAACCACGGGCTTTTTCTGCTCTTTCACCTAACAATATAGGCAGGTCCGGGTTAGTATCAAATATAAAGGTTAGCAAATAATACAAGAATGACTCTAACACGTGGAATCCATTGACCCCAGTGTGTCTCCCCTTTAAAGGAAAAAAGAATTCCAGCAGATTCCCAGAGTTATACAAGAGTTACTTTTATTATTCTTACAAATATAAACTCAGTTTTAAAATTTTATAGCTGTTGCTTATCTACAAAGCCAAAACAACAAATCACGAATTTTTTTTTTTTTTTTTAAAGATTTTATTTTTTCCTTTTTCTCCCCAAAGCCCCCCGGTACATAGTTGTGTATTCTTCGTTGTGGGTTCCTCTAGTTGTGGCATGTGGGACGCTGCCTCAGCGTGGTCTGACGAGCAGTGCCATGTCCGCGCCCAGGATTCGAACCGACAAAACACTGGACCGCCTGCAGCAGAGCGCGCGAACTTAACCACTCGGCCACGGGGCCAGCCCCAACAAATCACGAATTTAAGTAAAAACATTGCACAGCTAGACCAAGAACATTCAAATTAAACATAGGTCGTTATTGGGATGCACGTTTCTCTGAAACTCAGCGGACAGTGCCCACCTGGTCTGGGGGAGCCCTTTGCATTAGGGAGCCTATGCCGCCACGAGCGCTGATCCTTCATGGCACCCATCACTGTTCTCTGCTTAACCTGCCCTCAGACCCCAGGTCTCTTCATGCGGTGCACCACGATGTCACTTGGCTTTTCCTTGGCACTCGCACAGTGTCTGTTTACCCAGTGCAACCTAGTTCATTTGTCGTGAGCCCTCGTCACATGAGCTGATGCTCTCTGACCCCACCGTGCTCTGAAACACCGTTGAGAAACGGAGCACTACGTTCGTGTGGTGGAACTCAGCTTTGTGACAGTCAGCCGCACACACAGTCAGACTGTTCTGTTGATTGTTTAAAGTTTTTATCAGAGTGAAAACATAAATTTATAAAATTTCCTGTAGAGAATTGGACCCAGTTTGAGAAGCACAGTCTGTTTCCACATGACCCAGCCGGCATGGAGAGTTTAATGTGCTGTTCGCTTTGCTCCCCGTTGGGCGATACACGAAGTTTGTGACACGGAGCCTCAGAAACTCTGCTTCCCTTCATTGTCTTTAAGTTTATTTTCCTTGAATTTATCCACACGAATCTTGAAACAGTCTTTATTTTCACTTTGCATCATCTCTTGCAGCGACAAGCACAACAGAAGAAGCACATGCAGAAATGTGTTACTTCTTTTACAGCTGCTTATTTGCAGTTTCAGAGTTAGGACCCTCGGTTGTCATAAACTAGTTTTTAGGGAAGAAGTCCTCTTTCTAGTTTCCATACCTTCCATAAATTTTTTGGATTTTGTTTCTATTCCCTTCTGCTTGCTTCTTATAAACTGAATATTCCTCTTATGCCTACTGTGTCAGTGAGGGCCCACTCAAGAGAGAGAAACCAGAGATCACTTTGAACAGGAAAGTTTAGTATCAAGAGTCGTTAACTGTTATTAGGGATTGGAGTAACGGGAGCTTGGCCAATAAGAAGTAAAGAGAACTCCAGAGAAGACAGGAATAGCAGATACGAGGAGCAGCCGCAGCCCTTGGGCCGTACTCAAGGGGAGCCCCTTCCCCCAGGACTTGCCCAGACCTTGCTGGAGAGGCTATGGCTATGACTCACCAGAGGGTGGAGAAGGTGCTGTAGTTCCTTGATGGTAGAACTTGCCTCATGGCCACCTCTGGAACGCTTGAGAAAGCTCTCCGCCAGGAGGTGCCTCAGCAGAGGAGTGCTGGCACAAGTCTGCCCTGGACAGGGCTGGGGGAGGCTGCTGGGCAGTGGAGAAGCCCTTCATGCTGCGGGGACCGGGGCTGAGGAAGCCTCATGCACTGCAGGGGACGCTGCAAGGGTGTGCTGCAGGGGCCCGCTGAGCAACCACACCCACACCAGGAAGCAACCTGCTCCTGCGGGCTCCCCAGCAGCCTCCGTTGACAAGGCTTGAGATGGTGCCAGCTGGCAAAGGAAGATTGTTTGAAGGACCCAGATCCAGCTTCACAGAGCAGGAATGAAGGGTGCATTTGGGGCTGAGAGGCAAAAAATTCATCTGACAGGTTTACCTGATCTTTAAAGGTCTCCTTCTCCACCCCCTTGATCATTTTAGCCATACTTCTCTAGAGATTCTTCAGCATGAGTGTGGGGTTGAGGAGAAGAGCTTTGGCACCAAAGGTCCCAGGCTGAGTTCCTACTTTTTTCTCTCACAAGTTCAGCAACTCTGGGGTTAACGTACTTAGGTAAGTCATACTTTTCTCATCTGGACCTGGCGATACCTTCCCAACAAAGTACTGGGGGGAATCCAAAGAAACGTTGTCTGTGAAGGGCTCTGAAGACCGTCGTACCAACCAGCTGTTAGATGTCGTCTTTATCCTTTTACGCAGCGTCCGGTCCACAAGTGCAGTGTGATGTTGTAGAAAAGCGCTTTTGGGTTGTGTCTGCTATCCCATCTTCTCACATTTTATTGATTTTATTGTGCTTTTTTACCCATAAAAACGTAAGGAGTCAGAGTCCCCAGAAAGCAGCCTACAGCGATTGCCAGGTCTCTTACCACTGTTGTCACCATTAGGCTTCATGGGGTTTTTTGTGTTTTTTTTTGAGGAAGATTAGCCCTGAGCTAACATCTGCCGCCAATCGGCCTCTTTTTGCTGAGGAAGACGGGCCCTGAGCTAACATCACTGCCCATCTTCGTCCACTTCATCTGTGGGACGCCTACCACAGTGTGGCTTGACAAGTGGTGTGTAGGTCTGCCTGGGATCCGAACTGGTGAACCCCAGGCCGCCAAAATGGAACGTGCGAACTTAACCGCTGCCGCGCCAACCCAGCCCCTAGGCTTCATCTTTTAAGGACAGTTCACCGTACGGCTCCCTAAACCCACTGCTCTGACATGGGCTGCATTTACTGATTTTCCCTATTACCCTCAAGGGGTTATTTTTGTGCCTCGCATTTCCAGAATAAACATGATCTGCATACTTCCATTTTTCATCCTTCACGTCTTCCAGATTGTTCTAGAAGTAGCGTTAACACTGACACTGAGGCTCCCTGCCACTCGCGCTCTTCCCTCCAGAGAAGGACCCACCTAAACTGGCCTTTAGTACCCTCCCTAAGACAGTGTCCTGTTCACGAATAAATGTTCCCTTTGATTCAGTGGGGACTCGTCCTTAAACAGTTTACTCCTAAAATCCTGGTAAAGACTTTAATGTTGCCAATAAATCACATCCCAGTCACTCCCAATCGCAAGTTGACCTTGAAGTCGCTCACCAGAGTCCCCGTTTCCCCTCCGTGTGTTCTGTTCAGTGAAGCATCCATAGTCCTCGGACCCAGCCACCATCTTGATTAGACACCCCCTGTGCACCCGAAGCAGAGCTGTGGATGCCTCCAGCCTGCCCCCCCGAGTTCATCACTGATGGGAGCCCCAGGTCCCTTCCTGATGGTGGGGAGGAGCCTGATGTGGGTGGTACTCTGGAAGTCCACCAGCAAGGATGCTGCGAGCACTGGGCCGGGTTTGTTTTCACCGGAAACTCCATCCTCAGAGTGAGTGTCTTCAGTTCAGCTTGGGAGAAGTTTCGCTTTCCCTGGTGTCTCGAGTACTGAACACACTGGCTTGCCTCCTCTTCAGGAAGAAGAAATGAGTGCTGTGAACAGGGTTCCCTTCACCCCTTGCCACCCCAGGGATGCGTGACACACTGTCGGCAGCCCTGCATGGCAGTGTCCTCCTCACGTCACCTCTCCAGCACCTGGCACCAGCAGCAGTTCCTGTGCAGGCACACCCGGCGCCCCGCCCTCCCACCTCCCCACCCCCCGACCTCAAGGGGCCTGGGCGAGGTGTCTGGGCCCTGTGGTTTCTCTGGCGCTCAGCCTTAGGTGTGCAATCCTTTCAAAGCCGGAAAGCCATTCTCCTCGCCCAGCAGGCTCCCCACTGACAATAAGTAGAATTGGTGAGGGTTGGAGTCACGAAAATGCGGGCCAGCTTTTAAAGGTGCAAAGAAATAGATGAGCCTGAGCTGGGTGATTCTTACTCCACAAGCCATTCTTGTTCGTGAGAGAGAGGATTTATAGAGGGAAGTGGCTGTGGAATGGCAGAGAGTGTCTGTCTATGGATGGGAAGCTAGCTTTAGAACAAGAAGCAGGGGACTCAGATGAGTGTGGGGGAGGAAATGATTCTGTTTCTCACGTCAGTCTGTTCTTCCTGCCCAGCTGGGAATCTCTGTTCCAGAAGCTAAAGAATTCTCATGGGTGTACAGGCTACTGTCTTACCCTCCTGATACCCCAAAAGACATTGTATGCCTGTTCTTGACCCGGGGACTGCCTCTTCAATAGAATGCTCCTTCTCTCTTAAATAATGGATTTGTAGTAATTTTGGTTATTGTATTAATTTTTGTTATTATTGGTGGTTTTCCTCCAAGTCTTAGGATTTTATCATTGTTTTCAGTTTTGCCTAAAGGAAAAGTAACATTGCCAAGCCCCAGCATTCAAGCAGAAAGAGATGTATCACTTTTATTTTTAAAATTGCTTGTTATAACATGATAAGAAACATCAAGAAAAAGTAAGGTCCTGGCCACGGTAAGCTGTGTGGACTGTCGTGTTCCCACCACGGTCCCAGCCCCGTTCCCTGGGTGGGTTTTGCACTGACCCAGTGAAGTACGTGGTCTTCAAGACTTTGCGTCCAGCCTCTCCTCCAGGGCGTAGCCCGAGACGGGGAGTTCGGAAGCTGGTGCTCTTGTCCCGAGAGGAGACGGGTCCGTAATCCCTAAGCCCAGCGACTTCAGTTTCAGTTTATAGTTTCTGCTGGTCGCAGTCTCCTCTGAACGTGGAATCATTGGTCACCCAAAGCCTATGGCACCATTATTCCTCTAGTTACTAACAAGTACGAGTGATGGGTGGTCAGGTAGGAGTGGAGGGGAAAGGAGGTCAGCTGTTGACTCACGTCTGGGGGTGGGGTCGGCCTTGGCATTGCCCCTGTAACCTGTTAGCTCGTGTGGGCCTGGGAGGTGACGGGATTGAGGCGGCCAAGGAGTGAGGACTTTGGAGGTGCAGTCCTCTTCTTTATGTTTGCCAAAACTTCTACTTAAAACCTCTTTGGGATGAGAACCAGAACTGCTTCCCTGGTGACAGAAGCCCATCGGTGTTGGGAAGGAACAGGACGATGGGTGTGGCGGCCCAAGCACTGACAACGGCAGGTGTGGGCACGTGCGTGTGCGCACTTGTGCCCGCTTGTGTGGACCACCCTGACGCCAAGCTGCCTCTGTCCTCTGCAGTGAAAGAGCAGAAAAGCACCCCCACACACTGAGTCTGTCCTTCCCGTCCTTTGTCACAGCGCTGTTTCCAGCAGAGCCTTCAAGGTACCCGCAGTGCCTTCTGAGACACTTAGGACAGCCATCTTTAATTTGTTTCTAGAAGAAAAGGTTTAATAATTAACAAAAATGTACCAAATATCCAAATCAAAAGTGCTTTGTAGTGTATTCCACAAAGTCAATACTTCTTGCTGATTAGGGAAAGTAAACTGTTTCCTCAATGGGGGGACAAGCAAAGACTCCTTAAAAAAAATGTAGTTGAAAGATTGGATGGACCTTAGCTTTATTTTACCGTTTGGGAAGGAGAGGGGGCAGATGAACCGACTTGCTAAAGTTCACGCGGTTGGCATCACTGACCCTAGACCCCTGATCTGCTGAGCTCTGGCCTCTCGCCATAGCTAAGCATTCCATTTATGATCAGGATGTACTAGAAGTTAAAACCTTCACAATTTTTGCTTCATAAGTTTACTCTTTTTTGTTTTCCTTTTGAAAATTTTAACTCGAGAATTTCGTCAAATAGGGTTATTTTTGGTACATGAGTTGAGCACTGAACAAATTATGAAGCTTGCAAATTTGTTTACTGCTGCAGTCAGATGACGTGAACAATAACGTTGACATCCATTTGATGTGTGGACATTGTTTTGCTGCATTGGGAGGCATAATAATGAATATATGCCATCAAGGGCTGTGAGTTTGCTTTTGGAGCTTGTGAAGAGAGTGAAAAACCTGAGAGAAACTATAGGTAGAAAATTCAGGGTCTGATGGCCAGTTAAATGTACCTCAAAAGTAGATACAAGATATTCAGCATGAATTAATGAAAATCGAGGTGGGGTCAGAGGCAGATTTAAGGGATAAAGATGAGAAGGGTGATCTTAAACAGTTTACCTGTAAAATTATGTACATGTCTTAGGAAGCTGGACATACCCAGGAAGGGCTAGAATTTGAATAGCAGGGAGTGTGTACAAAAGGATGTGGTGAGAAAAACACAGGACTGAAGATCAAGAGATCGTGCATTCAGCCTGGACTGCCTCTCGGTAGTTGTGTGACTTTGTACAAATTATCCCGTCACCCCCAAATTATAATCCCCTCCTCTTGGAAGTGAAGGTCCTGATAAGGGCTCTCATCAGCAGAGGGATGTGGGAGTGCCCGCAGTGGACATTGTTCATCTGTGCAGAATGCCGACGAGGATGGTTATTCTCATTGATAAATTGTTCCATTTGATAAATTTTGTAACAAAAAGAGCAGATTTTTAAAAATACCAATATGTCAGAATTCACTGTTTTTGTTAGTAATGATGTGGTCAATCAGTCTAAAATTTTGATTGTAAAATTATTAAATTATTTATTATAAAGCAGTTTTTGGTTGTCCTAAAAATATGCTTTGCAGTTTCAATACTAATTCATTTTAATTTTGGTCTTTCAAATTCCCAGTACTCCCAATTTGGAAAGACAACCAAATGAAAATGGAGTATCTGTTCAGAATGAAAATTTTGAAGAAATTATAAACTTACCCATTGGATCTAAACCATCCAGATTGGATGTCACGAACAGCGAGAGCCCAGAAATTCCTTTGAATCCAATTTTGGCCTTTGATGATGAAGGGACGCTCGGGCCCCGGCCTCAGGTGGATGGTGTTCAGACACAGCAGACAGCAGGTAAGCCTGCCTCACCCTGCCGTCAGTGACCGTCAGGAGCATGTGATGCCCGAGAGGGGAGGGACCTTCTGCACTGTGACTGGGGCACGCCTTGTCCTTCAAGGCACCGGATAGATAAGCCCCATGGAAAAGACTGTGCGTGGATCACAGAAAGTGGGTATTGAGTTGGATTGGGCAACTTTTGGGGTCCCTCCTGTTTTCCCACTCAGTGTAGAAATCCAGTCGCAGCACCCAGTGGGTGTCCTGCAGCCTCTCCTCACGGAGCAGCACCAGTGGCCCAGTGGCACTGGCTGTGGGAGCAGGCTTCACGTTAAGGCAGACGCTTCCTGCCTCGCTGTTAACTTAGGGACCCTTAGACCTAGTTCTGCCCACTGGAGAAAAGCTCGGTTTGGGTTTATTCCATCTTTCTCAGCTCTTCAGATATTCGAAAATTGTCTTCATGTTCTCTCACCATTTTTCTCTTGTTTGGGTTTAGCAACCCAGATGATATACTATTGTCCTTTTTTTTTTTTTTTGAGGAAGGTTAGCCCTGAGCTAACATCTGTGCCCATCCTCCTCTACTTTATATATGGGACACTGCCACAGCATGGCTGACAAGCAGTGCTAGGTCTGCACCCGGGATCCGAACCGATGAACCCCGGGCCGCTGAAGCAGAGCGTGTGAACTTAACCACTACGCCACTGGGCCAGCCCCCCTATTGTCCTTTTTCAATGTAATAAGATAGTTACAATTTAGGGAATGAGACCAGTATTCCAAGCCAGGAGCTCACTGAGCCCGAGGGGCCTCCCGTCCCTTGTTGAGTGACGGCAGCTGTTGTTGGAACTGCCAGTGAGCCTCTTAGACCTGTCCCTGGGACTCCCACTTGACCTGAAGTATTATTGACCAGCATCTCTGTACTAGGATGAACAGAGCTGGCCAAATCCGGCATGTTTAAATGCAGTCAGTAGAGAATTATTTGTGGTCAGATTGTTTTGTCTTTTAGATTCCTTCTGTGAACTTGTAACAAATATTTTCCACTTTAACTGGTTAAGAAGCCAGCGTTGAACCACGTATCCAGATGAAGTTGGTCTTTGTCCTTCTCTGGTGCACTGGCCTTGGGAGTACGACTTCACTTTAGTGATCTACCGTTCTAGACTGTCAAAGGAAGCTGTAAGGTCCATCCCAGGTCTGGCATTCTAATTCTTAAGCCCCTGGGAACAATCTGATTACTTGTACTGTGGCGGAAATGCTCCTGGTGCAGCTTCCTGCCTTCTCGTGTTGCAAATTCACGGAGAGGGGAGGAGCCTCTGGATGGCGTCCTGCTGTGTGTGCCAGGCCCTAAACACCTGTGGCGATCTGTCAGTCGTTCTCACTGTTCCCACCCTTCCCCCCCCCTCCCTGGGAGCCTAGTCCAGTGACTGTGACCTTACGTGGTGTGAGGGTTCTTGTGGGGTCCTGACTGTTTATCAACAAACATTTGTTTAACCTCCAACATATGTTTGGAGCCCGAAGCATCAGTACTGAGGAGACGAGATGAATGAGTGTACGTCCCTAACCTGAAAGCAAAGTGCAATCAGTGTGTGCAGTTTAGAAAAGGAAATGACACAGCCTGAGTTGAAGGAAGGAAAGGACGTAAGTTTTCCTCCTAGTGGTAGAATTCACTTAAATAGAAGACTGTGGATCCTGGTCCAGTTGCCTGTTCTTATGTAAGACGACGTAGATAAAAGCGTGGTAAAGTTTTAGAAATTTAAGATGTTACTATAGTATTCTTTAAGATTTTAGATAGAATCTTATTAACCTGTTTTCTCTTCTGTCTCCTAATGTAGAAGTTATATGAGCATTTCTTCTGAAGAGCCAAAGCAGAAATTTAGTAAGAATGTCTACAATTCCTGGAGTCCCTTCCCTGCCATAAAGGAGCATGCCCCTCCTCCAGTTTTCTAAAGATTTCTTGACGATCATTTTGAAAAGACTCTATTAAAACCAGCTAAAGACAACAGACTGGATAGCTTTTCTAACACTTTTCGCCAGTAGAGAAGAGAAATGCTCCTTATTCTTCAGTGCTTTAAAATAGCTTTTTCCACTGTCGTCCTTCTTAGCAAATCAATATTTTTCTGCATTCTCTAAAAGATGAAAGCATTTGGCTCTAAAAGAAATGGGCTGACTAGGCATGATTTTTCACATAGATATTTTGGTCTTAAAAGCTAACATGTAAAATTGGCACAAAAAATTCACCTTTTATAATTTAATACTTGAAAAATTAAGTACCTCTTAGCTCTACAAGTAGAGTGAGTAGGAGAGGTGTTTAAATTAAGCCTGTTTGTTTAAATATTATTGCAAAGAAGTCTCTTTGTAGAGATAAATTATAGGCAGATTACCAGGTTCTTGTAAATGCAATTTGTACATGGACATTCTGCAGACCCAGCTGTCACATTCTTCTTGCATCTCCTTTTTGCAAAAGCATACTAAACAGTTTTAAAATATGAAAAAAAAGTTATTTTTTCAGAGCAAGAAAATAATTTACATTCCTCTTAAATAATGTATTTATAAAGTTCTTCCAGATATACTAATCAAACAAATTAAAACAATGTGGCAACCTTGCAAATTTGGTTTATTAGATGCATTCCTTATGTCACCATGAGAGGATGTCACGACGATTCAGGGCTCTTTCCGAAGTCTGTATATTGCTGCTGTCCCCAGTGGTGGTGGGACTTATCTTTGCCTTACCTGATCACAAATTATGTAGGGGGGAATACAGATTTAATATTTCTTTAAATAAAAAAAGAATTTGGTTTTGCTCGTTTAAGAGCAATGGGAAAATGATGGAATGTCGACTGTGTTTGGCACACAGGATGCTGCAGGATGCCTGCACAAGTGTCCTCGTTCTGCGTGGCGTCCGTCACCTCTCACTGTTCATTCTCCTTCACTTTTGCTGCTGAGTTAAGCTATACAAACTTGCACTTTCATAAATAATATAATTCATTCAATTTTAATATAAATTCAATTTTACAATGTTAGAGACTACTAAAACTAAATATTGAAGGAGAGGGCCCACATGGTTTTATGTGGAGTGTTAAAAAAAAGGGTAAACTTCGACCACTGTAGTGTGTTTGTGTTATGAAAAGACGGATTGGTGAGTCTGCTGAATGAGGGACTGTTCATTTATTGGACTGTTTCCTTAAACCCAAGCGTGTCATCCATAATGCCAGCTGTAATTTGTTAAAGCATTAATTTGGGGTTTTCCCTGTTCTCAGTTGTCCGTGTCCACATAGTCATATTAAAAGAGATCTGTTTAACAAAGTTGTTCTATTTCTTTAAACTGACCTAGCATGAAACACCAAATGTGTTGGACGTAGCTTTACTTTCAGGTTTCTCATGGTTATAACTTCACTCGGGTTGATTCTTGAGCTTTCAAATTGCCTTTCATTGAGCTGCAATGAAGTTTTTCCAGCTTCCTCTGAAGAGGCATAGGGACCTCTTTTTTTTTAATTTTTTTTTAAATAATAATTTTTTTTTAAAAATTATTTAAAATGTAGAGCAATAGTTCTATTTTGGCTAGGTTTGCCCTTTTTCATTTGTGTTTTTAACTTAAGCCATCTTCAGCAAACGGGAAGCCTGCTCAGTAATCAAGCTTTGGCTAGAAGCAGTATAAGGCTGTTAGAGGTGTGAGAACCACACTGCCAGAGGGCGACCTTGACCTTTACTGTGACTGGCTGGCTTTCCGACCAGCCCTTGAAGATTGGCTGACCTGCTCACCTCACAGGTCTCCAGTGGACGCTACATTAAGGGCGGTCCTCAGGGTCAGATGGACCCTCCCCAGGAATGAGGGCGATGGGCCTGTGGTTTCCTGTCCGCACCGCTGTAGATGGTCGAGACCGGTTCAGTCACCAGCGGCGGGTTCCTTGGGTAGATGGTCGCCAGCCTTCCTGGAAGGTGCTGGAGGTCTCCTCCTGCCAAGCCTCACCCCTGATGGTGCAGCACCATCAAAACAAATCTGAAACGAGTTCTCGCACATGGACAGATACTTATCAGCAAGCAGGGCCTTTGGAAAGCCTGGGGCAGTGTCTTCCTGCTCAGGATCCCACGCACACCTTGACTGAGAGATGCACAGGGAAGCAGAGCGGTGGCGTTCTGCAGGCAGGATAGGGTAACTGATGGCATCAGGCGGCACAGTCTCAAACATGTGGGTTCGGGGGAAGACGGCACAGGAGCAAACAGTGCTTTAGACCCGAGGAGCCAGTGGACACCCATGAGCTGGGAGGGCCTGCCGCATTCCTACAGCTCGTCTCAGGCAGTTTGCCTCTCAGACTGTTTCTAGACGAAAGCTTTCTAGCCTTTCAAGTTCCATTCACGAATGACAAATACTAACATCCTTATGCTGATTAACACGGGTGTAGATTTGGGTGACAGTGTTTAGCACCCACCTAGCCACCAGCCTGAGGGCCTTCAAATACTATCTGACCTACCCCCAGGCTAAGATTAAATTACACGTGCACACATACATCACAAAGTTTATGCTAAAGCATTTTGAAGTAAATTATTGCATATTAAACGAAACAGGCACCAATAAATTCTCCCATCTTTTGCATTTTTTTTAAACTGATGGAAATTATTCAAGTATTGGCCTACATCTATTTTGTGCATAGAACATTAAAAGGCATGAAATAGCTGTTGGATCAGGTTACAAAAAGCAGGTTTTTAAAATGACCTTCCAAGAAACATGATACCCCCACCCCCATCCTGCTTTCACTCGAGAACACCTGAGTTGGCTCAGAAATGCTCTAGGTCGCGACTTTCTCACACCTTTTGGCACCTCTTTGGTTTGGGGGAGGAGCTCTAAAGGCCTTGCAAGAAATGAGAGAAACAAGGACCAGCGTGTGATCAGAAGGTGCAGTTCTAAATTCGTTACAAATAAAATACCTTGTTAGTAAGCATTTCTTTGGTGTCTTTTACTTGGGTTTGGTGTTGGTAGGTTTGATTACACTCGTGGAGGTCAAAAGTACTTGTTAGTAATTATTACCAAGATTGGTAAAGTTCAAAAGAAAAAATTTTAAATTGCTTTTTAAAAATATACACTAAAAAGACATTAGGACCTACAATCCCTTTTGAGTTGTTGGATCTCTAAGACCTTGCAGAAGGCTGAAGGCAGAGGGTTAGAAGACAGGAAGCTGTGGAAGAACGGTGAGAGCAGGCGCCTGGTGCAGGCTTGGGTGTGGGTACCGGCTCTGCTTTGACGAGCACAGGCTTGGGGTTACCCATGCTCTCCAGGTCTGGAGTCTTCATCTGGACGTGGGAGAATAGTGCCCGTCTCATTTGATTAGTCTTAGTAGGGATCAAGGTTGGATTAAATGTAAATTTCTAACACATAGTAATGGTTCAATAAATGTTAAAAAGTTTTTACGTTTAGTTTGAGATACTCTGGTAGACAGGGCCTCTGGCAAGGCCAGCAGGACGCTGCTCCAGAAGGTGGGAGCTTCACTGTATTTTTAATAGTGGCCTTGACTGCCCCTATTTGTTTTTAGTAAGTTGCCCATTCCAGGTATTACACAGAGCAAGCTAGGCAGACGTGAACTCGTTTCTCTAGAACAGTGTTACAAGTTTAGAGACTCTTGTTCGATTTGTTACCAGATTACTATTTAATTTCATAAACCCTTCTCCTGCTTCCACTCCTCCTCATCCAAATGTTTCTTTCCAAAAAAACTATGGCTACTTCATGCTTCTCTACATTTGGAGACCTTTTTTCTTTTTTAAGTATGGTTTTTGGTGAGGAAGATTGGCCCTGAGCTAACATCTGTTGCCAATCTTCCTCTGTTTTTTCTTTTCTCCCCAAAGCCCCAGTGCGTAGTTGTATATCCTAGTTGTAGGTCATTCTAGTTCTTTTATGTGGGACGCCACCTCAGCATGGCCTGATGAGTGGTGTGTAGGTCTGCACCCAGGATCCGAACCCACGAACCCCAGGCTGCTGAAGCAGAGCGTGCAAACTTAACCCCGGGGCGAGCCCCTTGGAGGCCCCCTTGACATCCTTGGGCGCAAGGAGAGTTATCCTGTTGGCTGCAGAGCCAAGGATGACGGCGTGTTTCTCCAGAAGTTACTGTCAAGAGCGGCCAACCCTCAGGAGGTGCTGCAGGAAGCCAGGCAGCCCGAGGTTCCTGAAGCAGCTGCTGAGAGGGGAGCTGAGCAAATTGAGACTGCAGCTAACGGGTCCTTCTCCCTGGGTGGAGTCGCCTTCCCAAACAATGGAAGAGGCGCGTTAGGAAGGCGGGACTCGGAGGCCCTTGCAGGGTCTGTGGGCCGGGAGGGCCTCCTTAGTCTGTTGTTGCCCTTTCTGGAGTCGTCCTTCCCGTCGTAACGGCCCACAGGAACGTTCCTCTTCACTCTGAGCTGTGCCTGCCCCACGCTCTTACTGATGCTGCCACCTAGCCTGGCCTCTGGCTGGAATGTCAGTGTCCCAGACTTGTGGATGTTTGGGTTTCGTTGGCAGAGGGTTGAAAAGGTAGGTGCTGAACCCACATCGGTGGCTGACATCACTTTACAAGGTAAGAACAGTAAAAATAAATGAAATTCCTCTCCAGGCCACTCTGGATTCCCCCAGGCCACAGGCCTGCACTGACGCCTGAGCAAGCCCTGGGAGAGGATGTGGGTACCTTTCCTCACCGGATTAAGCCCCTGCATCCACTGTAGCCGGCTTGACGACACTCTGTGTTTTGGTTGTCTTTCCTTGCCTCACTACTCCATGCCTTGCGGGAGGCCCCTTCACCATCCAGATAAACTGCTTGGACTCAGGTCCTTGCTGTAGGCTCTGCTTCCAGGGAAACCAGGACTAAGGTTATCCTGCGAAGGTCCATTAGCATAATTTTATAAAACAAGTAACATTTCATCTCCTAACAAGTAAGAACACACCTCCTATGCTTGAACAAGTGGATAAACTGAACTCGGAAAGCCTGCTCTAGTGTGTCATTCTCGTTTGGTCTATACTCCAGGCGGTGAGAGAGGGTTTCAGCATAATTCAGTTCTTCCGGGACATGAGTTAAGAATAGTGATTGTGCTGTAACCTCTGGTGGAGAGGGGCCTGTGTCACCCAAGTGTTGCCCTCGTTACTGCTCTGCATGTTCATGCCAGCAGTCCCTAGCTGTTGAATTCCGTCTCTCACCTTCGTGCTTGCATCCCAGATCCTTTTTAGTGAGATCTCTACGTTTTTAAAAACGCTGCCCTTCTTCACAATCCGTGAAGTCTCTTGTGTGACCACACCTGATCCCCATGGCACCGTGTGCTGCGTCCACATTCTGGGAGAGTTGGGAGTACTGAGTTTGTCACATTTTTTGAAAGAATCCAAAAAAAAAAAAAAAAATAGCCTTTCTAAACATGCTAAACTGAGAATACTAAGTACTTTTTTCAAAAAGTGCTACTGATATAAATTGCTAGTCAGGGAGGATGTTTTGTTTTTCTTCCAGGTATTTTTATAGGGACCAGATGGAAGTGGTAAGGAAATATGGATAGCTAAGTGATGTGTCTTGTAAAGAAATAAGAAAGCTATTGAAATGTTATGTAAATGTGCACAAGATTCCTAAAATGTATTCAGCTGGTCTTCACATTTTGCAATTTTCATATCAAAATGCTTAATTTACATTTATAAACAAATTTTAATTATAAAACAAAATCAGCATGACAGATCATTTCAAAGTAGCATTTTTTAGCTAACAATTTTTTTTTAAGCATCAGTTTTGGGGCACTATTTACAAACACGAAGATGACCCCCCAGTTGTCTGTTTTATACATGTTTACTCCACATTCAAATCTATGATGATACTGATACTTATTGAGACACTGTTTTAGGAATGGAGGTATAGGAAATACAAAGCAAAAAACGGGAAAGGCCTGCTTTCTGATGGAAAGGTAGCCCACTGCTCATGTTCTCAACAGGAAGGACTGAAGTGGAAACAGCATAGCGTAAGAACTAGGAACGTGCTGGAGATGACTTTCCTCCCAAAGCCTCAGCATGGCTGCGGGCTCCAGGTCTCCTGTGCATCATGAGAGACGCAAGCCTCCTGAGCCCTTTTAACAGTCCAGGAAAGGTTCGTGTCCCTCACCCCCATGTACATTTGTGCTTCACTCAACCCAGAAAGCCTGCTGCTCGCGGCCAAGCCACCTGTTCTTGGCTCTGAACCCCAGCTACAGAAGGAAACCAGCTGTCCAAACTTAGGGCCACCAGAGTGCTCGCGGCTTGCTGCTGCCTGTCCATGATTTGCACCTGCGGACCTTGGCTCCCGCGGTTTCTCTGTTGTGACACCATCGCGGCTGCA